AGTTCATAGAGCGCTAAGAGAACTTCAGTTTTAGATATAAATTAATTTTAAATAGGTCAATATGTAGATGGCGCTGCTCTCAATATTTTTTTTTCAATGGGAGGATCTTTTTTATATAGCACATCTGGTAAAAAATGGCATTTTTAAGCAGATTTTGTTCTATAAACTAGTTTGATAAATCTAGCCATTTTTGATATACATTCGGCATTAATCATTAGTTTTTTAGTTCATTTGAAAGCTAATTTAATTACTATTTCAATGCACCACATAACAATAATATAAATAATACCATATTGCACTTGCAACAAAATAAAGTTAGTAATAATGTTTAAAAATAATACATGACTAATTTTCAAACTATTGCAAGTGGAATATGGAGGATATTTATATTATGTGGTACATTAAATTAATAATTAAATTTGCTTTCAAATAAGGTGTCACATTTTATAATACGTACAGTTTTTTTATCCCGATAGAGGGCGGTATAATTAAAAGTATCTCAATGAACAGTCATATTTCTAAATTACCCATAAAATTACCTTTTTAATGATGACACATTGTAGTGTCACACTCTATAATACGTAGTAATTTTTATCCCGCTAGAGGGCGATAAAATTTAAGTAACGCAATGTACAGAAATATTTCTGAATCCCCCATTAAATTACCTTTTCAATGATGTGCCATACATGGTACATTACCTATTTAAAATTAAGGTGTTGAAGAAGTGCAAGGGAGGGGGTTGACACATGACAGCTGAAAATCGACCTGTTTAAGCATGTTCTTAAAATTCAATGATTATTGCTAAAAACAGGATGAAACTGTTTTGAGTGACCCACTCTGTATATTAAAACAGGCTAGATTTATTGAATTAGTTCATAGAACAAAATCTGTTTAAAAATGAATTTTTTACAAGATGTGCTACACAAGAAAGATCCTCCAATCGAAAAAAAAAATTATTGAGCACAGCGCCATCTACATATTGACCTATTTAAAATCAATTTATATCTAAAACTGAAGCTCTCTTAGTGTTCTCTGAACTGGCTTTTACAGAATTAAAATATTTCTATTACTTACCAAAATATCCGGCCTGGGTATATAAAAAAATGTTTCGAATAAAATTTGTGTAACTTTTAACACCTTGTATCTCGGTAAATAATCCTTTAAGGGTTCACATTCCTGAATTGAAATTATTCATCAATTAACAAGAGCTCTCTGTGGAAGAGTACTGTCAGTCTAATATATGCTATTAAAGAGAAATCTACTATTTATGATCATTTTTAAAACAAGATACTTTCTTTTTCATTTAAAAAACAAAACTTTACGAATTTAACAATTATACAGTAGGTAGACTTGTCCTACTCTACTTGAAAGCTACCTTTGCAGTTCATTCACTTAATGCACATAAGAAAGAAAGAGATATAACATAAGAAACAATCCACCTTGGCTGCAAATATGTCAAAGTTATTCAACATGTATCTTCTACCTACAAGTGTCCCTTTCAAGTAGCTAGTGAAGTCTACTCAAAGTCCATCCGCCCCCCCTTTAAGATTTTGACTGGTTAAAGGTTTTGCCTCCTAATTTCAGGTTGTTTATCTGAAAGTAATTTTTTTTTGACTTCTGACAGTTTTAAAATGACAGCTGGGCGCCTTCTAAAAAATATTTCCTTATAGAGTGGGGTCGAATGATACATTGCTTTAAATGTATTTTTATTATCAAATCAACTTCCCTAATTTTTTAAATATTTGAATTACTCATCGTAATGACCAATTTGGTTTTCAATCCCCTACATCCATGGATTGGCTGGCACCCTAAACTATGCAGCAAAAGGCTTAACCAGTCAAAAGTAAAGAAGGGGGACTGACTGTCCCCACTGTATAATTCTAGACTTTCAAAAACAATATACTGCTAGAAGCAAGTATTTTCCTTTTAAGGATTATGAATCTAAGAAAACTGTGACTACTTCTATTAAAACCAGTGGTGGCTGGTGTATAAGTGCTGTAGAGCTGCAAAAAATGGAAGTATCTCATCTACATTTAACAGAAATTATTTTAGACATTCTAAAATATAAGTAGGTCTAGAGACAGGTACATATAATTATTCCACAATTCTGAACTTAATAAACCTCCCAACCCTTGTAAATCAAAGAATCTTCATGGATCTGTCATTCCTCTATAAGATCATAGCCAGGATTATTATTTCTCATGAGTTATTATCCATGATTGCATTTAGAGTTCCCACAAGAACTACAAGGAATAATAGTCTATTTGCAATTCAACTTCACCTCACTAATTATGCTTACATTACAATTTAGATGTCACTGGGCGTTCAACTAGTCAATTCCAGAATGATGTAAAGAGAATGTTTTTAATATTCTTAGTATATTACATTTCATATATTTATTGTTAGATTTTTTTTATAATGTATTTAATCTATTTTATGAATACTAATAAATCTTTCTGTAATACATATTTATGGATAATCTCAATAATTTTAATTATTAATTAGTAAATAATGTGTGTGCACTGCACTGCTTGAGCCACCCCCCACTCATCATCTCCTTTAGTTGTTCTAGTAGTCATGATAGGCATATGCAAAAGATTGTTTGCAAACAGCGAAACTTTTGTAATCAAAAATAAAAAAAGGTATATTGAAAAATTTTAAAGTTGAATTATTATTCAATCACCTTTTTTTTTAATTTTTGATTAAAATACTGTTGACAAAAAGATTCCGCTCTTAGCAAAATTGCTCAGAAAATTGTTAATTAATCTTTTTGACAGGCATATGCCTATCAAGACTACTAGAACAACTAAATGAGACAATGAGCGAGCAGCAGCCCAAGTGGTGCAGTGCACACACACCATTTACTATTTAATCATTAAAATTAATGAGATAATCCATAAAATCTATTTTACCTATATTTTAGAATGTCTAAAATAATTTCTGTGAAATGTAGATCAGATACTTGCATTTTTTTTGGGAATTCTGTAGCACTACAGCACTTATGCACCAGCTACCACATATCAAAATGCATACCTGGTTAATTCATAGAAGAATTTGGTAGATTTTGTTTTAATAAATTTTTATTTAATCTATGCCTAGGCTTAGGGCACTGTAAATAGGAGATAAAATGCTTTAGCTTATGGAATATGTGGCACATAGGTGCCATAAGCAGAAAAAATAATACGTTTTTGGAGTATAGTAATGATAAACTGCCTTGGTAGTGAAGTAGGCAGCAAGCAAGTCTCTCAACACTTAAGTTTATATCTCACTTTGGACATCTTTTTTAAATCTTTCTTAAGTAGAATAAAAAAAAAAGTGTGCTCTTTGAGCTTTTCAGGCAAATTAAATGTTAGTAGTAAAATCCCTATAAGAAATCCATAGACTTGGTCAACAATATGTAAAAATTATCAAAATTGTAAAAAATGTAAAATATGAGCTAATAAATATGGATCAGTGATCAGACATTTGCATTTGGTCTACCTCCATCTCATGAAGGTGCAAAGAAAATTAGCAAAGGTGACATCTCACAAGTGAGGCACAGATTTATATTTCTTAAAATTATAACTTGCTCCACCTATCTCCTAATTTTAAGAGATACAAGTCAGTGCCTCACACATCGAGTGAGTAATTTGAAAAATCTAATTGAATGGGTTATTAATTAAACACCCCATGTCATATTTTTAACATACAACAGTTTATTACTAAAACCCCCTAAGTTTAAAACTACATGTGGTAAAACAACCTTTCATATCTCGCATATGTAATGTGCTGACTTATAGTTTTTTAGAACTAATCAATGCAGATATGTTAAAGAATTGTATTTTTCTACTACAGCCAAAATATGACTTAAGGGTTTTTTTAGTAATAACTGATTCAATTAAAGATCTTGTGGTTTGACAGACTGTTTTTTCTCATTTCTACTTAATCTACTTTGGACCACTTTGAGATATTTGGAATTTACAAATCTTTATGTTTAAGTATTTTTCATATACCTATGTATAATTTACTAGGAGTAGGGGTTATATAATTTATGGTAGGATTCTAGGAAATATTCTATAAGCTATAGAATCTGTAAGATAAAGTAATGTAATTTTTTACAGATTTCGGCTTACAGATCTTATAGATTGCATAAGAATCAACCCATTAGTTCTTTTTATTATACAGTGCTGGCAAGATCAAACCTTCAGGCCTGTTTTTCTTATCTTAAATTAAAGCAAAATTGATTCAAAGCTTTGATCTTACAAGCGTATATACTATATGTAAAAAAAACACATCACCCACTAAAAGTGTATAAGTATTTTTTAAATAAATTTTCTACATGTATTTGTGGTGTAAAGATTAACTGAAATTTAATCAATTGTTATTCCTTACACCACATGTAAAAAAAATATTTTAGTGGGTGATGCTTTTTTTTGGCACATAATACATAAAATTGTAATAAGAAATACATGTTGAAAAGGTGTTTTATTTTTCTCTGCAAATGGTAGACATGTGCGTTATATCTGCCATAAGCTAAAGTCTTTTCCTTCCCACTAGAGGACCGTAAGCCTAGATGCAGCCTTAAATTCAAATTTGATGCCTATTCAAATATTTAGGGCAATAAAAAGTAACACAGATTTCATTGGCATCAATCAGAATAATCTTTTAGTTATCACATAACTGCTTTATACACTGCAATTTAAAGTGTTACAACATCAATGGACCATTTACAAATATATTACACAATAGTTAAACCAACACTGCACATAGGTATACCTAGATTTATCAAGGGCTTTTATTCAATCATTAATACAAATTCTTAGACCAAGACACTTTCAATATATCGTTAACAATCAACTGTACTGACTTAAGAAAAACCACTAAGAGCATCACTTCAGTTGATTTTTTTAGAAAGAACACTTTAAAATTTTAGTGTCAAAGGTCTCAATCTATAGGAGTTTTGTAAGTACCGTAAAATCACTCACTGCACAAATTTAAGAGTGAATCGTTACTGTACTAACCACATAGTCTTGAGTCTCCTGATCTTTGGCTGCCAGCTTGCGAATCAGTGTTTTCTCCCTTTGCTGAGATTCAAAGAGCTGCCCTTTGGTCCTCTCCGTAAGTAGTCGAAGATCAGCCAGTTCCCCTGCAATGAGCACACGTTAAACTACCGCCTCACTACACCGCTTTGCTTTAGTACACCTCACTGCACTGCACCATTAAGATACAGCCCGTTTAACTATAAAACACTGTTAACTGACTAATAACTGAAGTTAAGTACCTTCTTGTAGATTGGTTTTCCTCTCAAGGAGGCTAACATAGGAATCTTGCTGCCTCCAGCAGTTCTGCCATTCTTGTATTGTGAAGGAACTTAACTCCTGTTCGCCCAGCATCACTCTGCTAGGGGGTTTGTCCCTATCCGCGAGGTTTGTGGATGCTTGGACGTCACTTGATTCGGACATCCTAAAATTCCATCACCATCAGAAAAGATCAAAAATACAAATTATATACAATTCCATTTATATACAGTCGGCCATGTTACTATGCAAACAGAGGCAGGTTTTTGGCCTGCGTTTTAAATATTACTTACATGTCAGGTTTGCTCAAAACTAACATTAATTAACGACCTAAATGAAAATATCATAAAAACGTTCGATATTTGAACACGGAATAAGCAAAAAACATTATTATACTCAAAAAATTATCCGTACAATCTCAACACTACACTGCATTAAAACTTGACACACTTCTGACAGATGACAATTTAAATCAAATCGTCTTTTTTGACAGTTACATTCCTAGGCAGTTTACCGCGTTCACCACTCTCTAGGTGCGGTTTTTATTAGAATGACATCACGATTGTAGATTTACACTTCGGTTTCTAAGAACTAACAGACAAATAATAGAGCAGAAACTAGTCTGTTATTTTTCGTTGTACTATAGCAAAAAATATGAATTACGTTCTTTCAATGTTTAGCAGTTAAAGAATTAATAAAATTGTTTATTATTTTTAATAGTTCCCCCACATATTATGCCACATACATACAAAATTTTCTGAGAAATTAGTATAATAAAAACGTTTTTTATATTGTTTAGATCAGTCAATGTTTTGTGGATCGGACTTTTCTTGAACCTGAATAAAGAATACTTTCAGTCACCTATCAGTAATATATGAGACATTATCAATATTAACAATTAAGCGGATGGTGTTCAGCTGGCCTTATTTCGAAAGTATAACACCCCGATCCTATTGTTCATTTACTGAGAATTATTAAGTATATTTAAAATTTAAATAAGTTAGCACGATGAGATCATGTTTGCACAAATAATGCTAATTAGCCTGTCTCTTGAAAATACCAATAACAAGTTTACAGTTGATTTAAGGCTTATTTTTTTAAACGAATGGCCGATAATCAATTATTGAACTATGTAATTATACTCATCTCCAAGTAAATAAAATGTAAAACGTATAATATAAACGTGATATTGTTTTATGGGAATAATTGTAAAATTTTAAGAAAACATAACCAAAAACATGTTTTTATAATAAAATGTTTTATCACAACGTAATATAATTATATTTTTAACCGACTTCAAAAAAGGAGGAGGTTCTCAATTCGTCGCGATATAATATATTTTTTTTATGTATGTTCAGCGATAATTCTTCAACACGGTGTCCGATTTCAATAATTCTTTTTTTGTTAGATAGGGGGTACTTCAGGGGTGGTTCCATATAAATTTGGTCAAAATATAATAATTGGGTCCGTGAGAAAATCCTCAAACTCTTCATTTTTTATGTATTTTTAGCGATAATGCTTTACCACCTTGTCCGATTTATATGATTCTTTTTTGTTAGTAAGGGGATACCTCAGGGGTGATCTCATATAAATTTGGTTAAGATGTGGTGACGGCATCTGCATATTTTTGAAGTCGGTTTTTTTAAATTTTTAATTTCTAATACTTGTTTTATTATATATAAGTATACCTACGCATTACTAAATGTAAAGCCCCTGAATATAATGGGAAAAATGAGAGGAAAATAAAATACCTAGGTATTTACACTAGCACGGACATTTAAGTAACACATTCCTAAAAAAATTAGATATTCTTATTCTAGGGAAAATCAAGAACAATTTTGTTTTTACACTTATTAGAATTTCTCGTAATATTTCACTCATTAAATTGCTTCGTTTTATCGCAAAAACTAATTCTATGAGAATTATCATAACTGTTACGAAACCGTTTCAATTTAAAAGCACAAATAACCGTTATTTTCATAATTTTTGGAACTGCTGATTTCGTGTCAAAGCTTAGAGATAGTTTCCATCCCTCTCTAATTCATTGATACTCATGTGTTGAAAGAAAACTGCTGCAAAAAAGTTTTCATGCGAAGTTATTTGTGTAAACCGGCGAGGGAGGGGAACAACGTCGTTTCAACCGGTATAGACGCCACTTGCTGTGTTGCCAAATGTTGTCTTAAACATTACCTAAAGATGATTAAAAATGGACTAAGTAAATTAAGTATTTTAGGATTAAAACAAGATAATGAAACGAATTTGGTTTAAAATTTGTTATGATTTGAGTATACCTAATAAATACAGTAGTAAGATTTTTATTTTGCACTTTAATACATACGAATATATATACAGGGTGACCCCGGATGGACTAAAAAATAAGAGGCAGAACTTTTTAATTTTTAACTTTTAAAGAAAATATTATTCATAAAAGTGTTTGCTTGTTTTAAAAATAATAGTATAACAAACAGAAGTTGAATATCTCTTTGTTTTAGTGAAATAATGACAACAAAAAATTATAATTTTTTTTACATTTTGTCATTATTTCACTAAAGCAAAGAGACAGATATTCAAATAGTAATTTGGAATATGATAAATAGGTTAATAAAAACAAAACATTATACAGGGTGTCCCATTAGTGCGTAATTGTTCAATGTTTCAATTTGTGTTATAGATACGCAAACAAATTTCAAATAAAAATTATATGGATTTGAAAAATACATGTTTTAAAAATATTTTTGGATATACACCCAGACAGCACACCAAATCCTTTGGATATCTACTGAACATCCCAATATCCACTGAATGTCCATTCCATGGTAGATATATAATTTATATCCAAGAGATGTAATTTATAGACATGCAAATGTCCATAAATAATAGTAATTATATAGCAAATTATTAAAAAATTGGGCCATTGTGCTCGCCATTGTGGCTAATATTACCGTTCAGATATTTAAAATTAATTTTGTTAAGGTGTATTTAATATCCCATGGACATCCACTAAATATATCAAAGTCTAGGCGCGAACGCAAACCATCGTGGATATCCACTAGATGTTATTTGATTTTGCTTACTAAGTATAGATGGCGATACCATTTTCGCATCTACTCATGCTTGACCCGCCGTAATTGAGTTCGATCGAAATTTTTGTTCTAATCAGACTCCATTAGAGACTGGAGTCGAGAATTTTCATTTATTGCTGAAGAGTCCTAATAAGGATGACTTTCTCCTTAGTGGGCAAAATCAAAGGCAGAGTGTTGAAAATATTTTGAGTGTTGAAAATATTTTTTATCTCTGTTATTTTCTTTCGACGTTATTCAATAATCATTGGTTACTTATGAACCTCTATTAAAGATAAAATATGTTGCTGAATATCCGAATATCTTCTATATCCTGGGATATAGACGGACATTTGGTTGGATATCCATATTGGATTGAATATCCACAAAATATATTCTGTGGATATCTCTGGGATTTCTTGTATTTTCTGGAAGATACCCATTAGATATTTTGCTGGATATCCATTAGGATATCTTCTATATTCTGGATATAGACGGACATTTGGATATCCATGTTAGATCAACGGAATATTTCTGATATCCTGTGGATATATTGGATATCCACAAAAGATATTCTGTGCATATCTCTGGGATTTGGTGTGTTGTCTGGGTACTTTCCGGTCTTGTAACGTAAATTACTATTACTTTCCAATGATATACCTATAACAAGTAGGGGTGAGTTCTGTATTTTATTTAAGTTCACCATTCTTCACCCATTTTCTGATATCATCTATAATAGTCATTTTGCAAGTTTTTAAATTGTCGCCTTTATATTATTTATTTATTAACGTGCTTACCTCTCTAATAATTATAATTAAGTTAAATCGCGTTCCCAATTAGTTCTAACTGGATTAGTTTTCTTTTTCGGTTTTTCCACGCATTAAACAATCGATTAACTAAATAAAATAAAATGAAAACAATGGGCATTTTGAAATTCTGAAATATTTTGCTTTGCCGTACGTTCTGGCAACGTTGAAGATTTAACCACGAGTCATCGTATTTGAAAAATTTTTAGCTCGCTCGTTTTCAGTTGGAGTACTTTATAAGTGGGTGGAAGTAGTGATAAAATTGTAAAAGTAGTAATAAAGTGTCGTCTGTGATTTTTCGTATAGTCGCGATTTAAACAATAGTTGAATTTTGTAGGTGTTTACGGTAAGTGAAATAAAATAAAGCAAATATTGCCAATAAAATAAAAATTTAAAAAAAAATGTTAAGGATTTTTTTTGTTTTTAGAAAAACACGTGCGTTTTCAGCTATATTCAAAATTGACAATTATTATTGATATTTTTTTTTTGCTTTTTTGAATCACCAAAAACATTCACAGTTTTTTTTACGTTTTGAAAATGCAGAATATTTTAATTATTTTTTCAACTACGGAAAAAGTTAAAAATAATTTTTTGGCAGCTTCATGTGTCGCAAAATTTTAGAGATGCATATGTTTTTTTTTATAATTATATTATTATGCACATTTTTGTAATAGGTATGGTATATTATTATAAACGGAGATGAGTACTTAGTAGAGGTAAATGATTAAAAAGGAGTTTGAAATAATTTGCTTTTTCCTAATAGACAAACAATATAGACCCAAAAAATTGTTGTGTTGGTATTTGATTATTTATAAAAATATCTCTAAATACAGTATAGAATAGATACAATAGGGCGGAGGGGGTGAAGCTTTTCAGGTGCGCTCTAAATGCAAAGGGAGGGGACAATCGCCCCCCCCCTTGCCAGGGTTGGCAGGTACAGGTTTTTTAGGTTTAAAAAAACCTAAAAGTAAAAATTATGCATTTTTAGGTTTTTTAAGATAAATATTAGGAATTCACAATTTTACTACTAAATAGAGTGCAAAAATGAGTATATAAAAACAAATGCAAACGTTATATATTAATGAAAGTGACAATTAAAAAAAATAAATTTATTTACCTTTTTTAGTTTTTTTTTTGTTAGCAGAATATGTCATTTTTTTAATATAATAAAGTTCTATTTTTCAAGTTTTGCTTGTATTTTTTGTTTAACTTTATTAATAATAACTTTTGACATATATATGAACAAAAAAGCTAAAAAACCTATAAAACCTTAAAAAACCTAAATAACCTAAAAACCTATACTTATATATTTTTAATTTCTTAGCTTTTTTCCAACCCTGCCCCTTGCCCCCTTTACGCCACGCGACTGGGCTCATCTTTATATTTATTTGAATTATTTTCTATTTTTATTCGAGACTATTGCTGCGTTTGAGAATCCACATCGGATGCATTTTTTACATCTCGAGCGTTTTTTTATCCACATCGGACACATCTGTCCCATTACATTTACGTATACTGAATCACGTGATCAAAGATTTTTTACATCTCAGATGCATCCGATGTGGATTCTCAAACGCAGCAATTATAATTTAATTAGATGTAACTGAAGAAATTTACCAATTATTTTGAAACCAAAAATAAAAAGTGAACAATTAATACTTAATACAATTTATTACGCAGGGTGTCCCACAACTTTTCTACCAAACGAGCTAGAGCTCTTTGAAGTTGGCATCTTTTAAGAGGAAACCGGACCTCTCGCGAAAGCAAAAATGTTTTAAGGATTTTCTAATATAACATTGTATTTATATGCATGCCATTGGGAATACGTCGTGGTATTATGTGCCTGGAGAATATTGAGAGCTTTAAATTTGTGTAACAATAAGGCAGCATTCTTCAAGCCATTTAAAGTGCTTGCAACTCTTGCAAGCACTAAAAAGAGCTTGCAAGCACTTAGAAGGCTTGCAAACACTAAAGGACTTGCAAGCACAATCAGATTTTAAATGCTTGCTTAGGAGATATTACTGTTTTTTTTTTGTATTTAGTTTGTTGTTTATTCATTTATATCCAAATTTTCTATAATCCGAGATCCCACTGCGAAATTTTGTAAATAAAGTGTTAAGACAAAATGTCTTTTTGAACACTACCCGTTATTCTTATTGATTGGTCACTGCTGTAAATGGTTACCATAGTCATTTTAGACCAAAGTTCGAAAAACCATGCAAAAATAGCGAATATAAGAATAGCTATTTGTGTATTAACAGCAAAAAGTAACACTTTGGCTTGAAACTGCCAAAGGTCTTTCTACTTTTTGCTCGAATTACACACGAGATTTTTTCTACGATATAAAATAAATTATTTAATTTTATTAAAAATGGGTTAACTTGATTTAAAATATTTGGAAGTCAAATAAAATATTTTAGATTAGCCTATATTTTGTTTTAAAATACGTAGCTTTCTTTTATTTAATTCAAATGACGATAGTTGTGTGCCAAAGTTACCTTGCACGCGTGCCACTAAATAAACAAAGTCTACTAAATAAACATAGATTACAAAATAAAACTACTACATTTTTATAGAAAAGTCCAATATATACAGTATGGTTTCAATGAAAGGAATAAAACAGGCGACTTTATGTCTGTTCGCTATACTTACGCGGGTTTCGGATTAACAAAATTATGCAAATTATTCATTGACAACCAGTTCCATTAAGCCTCTTCCCAAGAAATTAGGTAAAATTGCTCTAATGGTCAGATTTAAATTAAAATAACATTAGGGTAGGTACTAAATTTGTTACAAATATTGCAGTTGAATTGATTCTTTGCAAGTGTTAACATTGTATGTATATTGTAAATTTAGTGGAAATTTTAAAAATGCCCAGACGTGTGTTAGATGTAGATAGTCTAATTTGTAGTGTACACAAGTATTTTACGGATGAAAAAGAAAATGGTCTGTACAACAACGCGTATGCGATGCTCTGGAGTATTACAAAATCACAATAGTGAACTGCCGAAAGAAGATCACCGCAAAATTCGCCCATCATTGAAAACGAAAGATATTCCAGATGGAAAGAAATTTGATATTCGTAATACCATTTATCGAATGAGGGCCAACAAGGAACATGTGACCTTAAATACAATTCTCTCGGAATTAATAGATAGAAAATTTGACGACAAGTCTATGGCAACATAACTTGGGTTTCAAATTTCAAAAGGAGGATAACAGAAAAGCCCTTTGTAAAAGAAGTTCTGTCGTGCATAAGAGAATTAACTTTCTAAAAAAATATTCTAAATTTAAAGAAGAAGGGGCGAATTTTATATATTTAGACGAAACATGGATATTTTCTAGGGGTGCAACCAAGAGAATATGGCAAGATGATAACGTAAAGTCCATCAAACATACCGATGGAGAAGGGAAGCGATACATAATTTTACATGCAGGAGGGAAATCGGGTTTTATAGAAGGTGCTGATTTAATATTTTCATCTAAATCAAAATCCAGTGACTATCACGATAATATGAACACAGAAATGTTTGTAAAATGGTTGCATGAAAAACTTCTCCCAGGTTTAAGTGAGCCCAGCGTAATTATTTCAGACAATGCACCTTACCATTCTGAAGTATTAAACAAAAGTCCAACGAATTCTTGGACTGTTGATAAAATTAAAGAATGGTTGACAAAGGAACATATACCATTTCCTCAATATACAGGGTGTCCTTTAAAATGTGTCCCAAAATTCTCAGGCAGATTCCTTAACCAAAAAATGGAAAAAAAGTTCCTATAGACCTATGTCCTAAAGTGCCCCCTAAGCGAGCAAACAGCCTCTCGAAATCATTTTTTTTATTTTGATTTTTTGAATTTTCTTAAAAATGGAAACAAATAAAAGAACCAAATTTTGGCTGTTAAATATGATCAATAATAGTGACCTTTTGACACCTTCAAAAAGAAATTATTTCGTCAGGGGTGTACTTGGGAATTTTTTGAAAATTTTGATTATTCATAACTTTTTTGTGTTTTTGGTAATGACTTATCCATATTTTTTTTACATTCTACATTGAAAACTACGTCAAAAAGGAATACTTGTTTGATCTCGATTGGAGCAGCCGTTTCCGAGAAAACATCATCCAAAGATATTCGTCCACTTTAGCTTAATTTTCAATTTTCCTAAATTACCTCGGTGAATCTCGTAAATAAAAATAACTTTTTTAGCTCTCTCTAAATAATTGTAGTTCAAATGTCGTGGTGGGACTATTTTTATTTAATAATAAGAAACGGTTTAAAAAAATATTTATTCTAAAAAAACAAATCAAAAAAAATTAAAGCAGATGCTCAATGTGGCGACCATTGGTTTCCACACACAAGCGCAACCGTCGCATCATAGACTGTCTTACACGAAAAAATACTTCAGGATTATTCCTAAGAACTTCGCAATGATGAAAAACTCGTTCTTCCAATTCTTCAACTGTTTCAACAGGACTGGAATAAACCAATGATTTTAAATAACCCCAAACAAAAAAATCCATTGGATTTAGATCTGGTGAACGAGGTGGCCAGTTAACAGGACAACCTCTGCCAATTACTCTACCCTCAAATCTTTCGTTAAGGTGCTGTCTAGCTTCAAGGCTGTAATGTGGTGGAGCTCCATCATGCATAAACCACATGTTATGTCTGATTTGAATCGGAATATTATCAAGAAGCTCATGTAAGTTATTTTCCAAAAAAAGCCTGTATGCTGCTCCATTTAACCTATTCGGCAAAACAAATGGTCCAATAAGGTAATTATCAATAACTCCAGCCCAGAAGTTTATTGAAAATTTATCCTGGTGGTGACGTTCAACAACCGCGTGAGGGTTATCTTCAGCCCATTCATGCATATTTCGAAAATTTATTATACCATCTCTAGTGAAACCAGCTTCATCGGTAAATAGCACTTTATTAAGAAACATTGCATCTTGATTACATCTTCCAAGAAACCATTCAGAAAAGATAACTCGCGGCTCATAATCAGTAGCTTTAAGTGCCTGAACTTTTTGAATGTGGTAAGGGTACAATTGTTGTTCACGCAAAACTTTCCATACCGTGTTACGTCCGACTCCCACTTCTGAAATTAAATGAGAGAATCTGTGTAGTGAATAGTTAAGAAAGAGAATCAATCCATTGATTTGGGAAATCAGATTTTTTCTGCATAACGCAACTCTTTTCGATACGAAAAGTCGTGAAATGTAAGAGAAGCAATAACAAGTAAAAAAACTAGTTTTATACGATAAGGTACGGGGTAGCTAAAATAATAAATAAGTAATTACTTACCATTTGCTATTTTTCTGGTACTTGTCGATGGGGTTTCAGCTACCCTATCCAAAATTGCTTCTTCCAAAGCAGGAGTTCTCACATAATTTTGTCTTCCACTGTTACTAGAGTTTTTCTTAAATGTACCAGTTTCCCGAAGTCTATCGTCAATTCTAGAAAACGTCTTAGCGCATGGAAGATGCCTATTTGGAAAGCGCTCCTGATAAAGTCTGCGAGCTTCATTGGCATTTCCAGAAGCGAGTCCAAAACATAAGTGCATGTCCGTCATTTCGCCGAATGTGTAATCATTATTGTAGTTATTGTGAGCCATTTTAAACAAAATAATAACAATACAACGAATCGCACCAGAACACTTTTAGAAATAATGTTTAACTGAAGAAACATTTTTATCAGTGAGCGAAAAAAATTATCCATGAAACACAAAAACGCCAAAAAAATACATATTTTTACTTTTTTATTCTAAACAGCTAAATACAAACCTTATGGTCTTCATAATAAATAAATGGGAACTAAATTTTTAAATTTTATTTAGAGAGCTAAAAATAGTATACAGGGTGATTGATTAGTGTGAGGAAGCTCTGTAGATCTGTTATAATAAAAGTAGGCAGCTTTAAGCTTCACATTTTAAAATTAGTTACGATGTGACAGGGTGTTTCATAAGGCCGTGCCAAATCAAAGTTATGTTTTTTAAATGGAACACCCTGTATATTTTTATATTTTTAGAATCTGCTCGATAATCTGATTTCAATGATATATCACACTTGTTATCTAATATGAATAGTAAAGGATCTACAGCTACTCAAAAATCACATTTTTTCAAATTCAGGTGGCTGTTGTAGCCAAACAGTTGGAAATCGAGGAAAACGGCTTACAGTCCCTATCCTAACTTTTTAAGGTCTATTCAGTGACATAAAATACATATTATTTGATACAGGGTGATCAAAAATCCAAAATCACATCCGATTTTTGATCACCCTGTATCAACTAATATTTTTTGCCACTGAATAGACCTTCAAAAGTAAGGATAGGGACATGTAAGCCGTGTTCCTCGATTTCCAACTTTTTGGCTACAACAGCCAAAATTGAAAATTAACCTAAACTGCACGAATATCTTTGGATGATGTTTTCTCGGAAACGGCTGCTCCAATCGAGATCAAACAAGTATTCCTTTTTGACGTAGTTTTCAATGTAGAATGTAAAAAAAAATATGGATAAGTCATTACCAAAAACACAAAAAAGTTATGAATAACCAAAATTTTCAAAAAATTCCCAAGTACACCCCTGACGAAATAATTTCTTTTTGAAGGTGTCAAAAGGTCACTATTATTGATCATATTTACAGCCAAAATTTGGTTCTTTTATTTGTTTCCATTTTTAAGAAAATTCAAAAAATCAAAATAAAAAAAATGATTTCGAGAGGCTGTTGCTCGCTTAGGGGGCACTTTAGGACATAGGTCTATAGGAACTTTTTTTCCATTTTTTGGTTAAGGAATCTGCCTGAGAATTTTGGGACACATTTTAAAGGACACCCTGTATATTAAAATCAGAATTATTACGCTTGGCAAATATACACGCAAAACCCAAAACCTTTGTTGTGGATCAGATTATTGAAAGTTACGGTCATCAAGTTTTACGTCTGCCACCGTATCATTGCCAGTTAAATCCCATGGAATATATATGGGGAATAGCAAAACAATATTATTATGACAACCATATTGGGTCTAATGGTTATAGTGACGACGCAGTTCGGGAAACTTGGTAAAAAGCACTTTCAATTGCAACTCCAGAAGTGTGGCGGAACTGTATATCCAAGTGCGAGAAACTAATAGAAGATTGGTGGACTCGTGAAAATAAAATAAACGAAATAAGTCCAATCATAATAACAATTAATGGTGATGACAGTGATGATGATGACGATCATGATATTTTGGATGATAATGACTGATTTTTATTTTTGTTGGCAAGTTCAATTTTTTTATTTTTCATTTGAAATTCTCTACATGGAATAAATTTTTATGTTAGAAAATATTTTATTTGAGCTAAATAACCCTCTTATTATACATAGGCCATATTTTCTGTGTGAAGTGTAATATAAAATTATTATTAGGTTTATAATAGCCACTTTAGACTCCATTAAAGAAGTTTAATTCTGCTCTCAATTATACAAAAGATTCTACATTATTATTTAATTAAAAAGTTGTACATTATTTGTCATTTCACATAACCAGTTGATATTTCCCCAAAGAACAGGTCAAACTTTCGGGTACTTACCTGGAAATACTCATAAAATTTTTAATCCGAAACCCGCGTAAGTATAGCGGACAGACTGTAGATGAATAATCCTAAAACCCGTCGATTTTTAAATAAAAACAATTGTACCTAACAGCAAAAAATATTCCAGTGAATAAATATCCACATTTTTTTTAAAAAGTGACAGTGGTAAAGAGTCTAATATGTATTGAGTGCTTAATATTGTTATTGTACTGTCCAACCCACTAAAAAATACTAAGCGAGTAAAGCAGGTAAGAATTATTAATACTTAAAATTCTATTAAATAATAAAAGAAATTAATACATAATAAAAACCTAATACAGAATAACAAGATAACATGTTTTCGAAATGTCCACCTCAAATTTCAATACACTTAATTATTTACAGCAGTTCTGATCATAAATCGGGATTATCCCTTAATTCATTGCATTCTTGACTTATACGTTAGTTTATCTCGTATCGTAAATAGGGATATTGTCTTATGAAATGAATACAGGGGTTAGCTGAAACTATTCAGTTATAGATTGTCTTTTATTTCACAAAATTGATTTTTTTACATTATTGTAGTTTTTATAACAATATTGAAAATTATCAAAATTTATATGCAGGGTATACCATAAATACACCGTGGTAGGGGACATTAAAATAAATATTTTTTGTTCAATAAACGTTTTATTTTCGATAATAGACTTGCCTCGTAGGCACGCCTATGGAAATGTCTGATACACGCTAATAGTTCCAAAAGATGTATCATTAATAACGATTATTTAATTTAAAAATAATTTATTTTCTTAAAACAGTTTATTTATAATTTATTTAAACCAGTATTAATTAATTAATTTAATACATAAGCACTATTATAATTCACACTTTTAATTTATTTAACCATTTATCTTTATTCGACAACATTTGTATTGAAAAAACCAGCTTATGCATTTTTTCATAAATTGGCAGGCTTGGCGATTACTATTTCAAATAAAAATAGCTTCCAAGATGTATAACTATATACAAGAACTTCCCACTGGCACCTATTGATTGACAGTTCGTTGGAATGCCTAATTTATACTTTTAATATCGTGTGATGGTAAAAAAAATCTTGTGTGTATTTCGAGCGGAAAGCTATTTGCCGCTTATGATAAAATGTCGCACTCCGCCGCTCGTCGCGCGGCAACTTTTTATCTTAGCGGCAAAGTAGCACATTAATACATAAATAGCTATTTTAGGTATCCCGGTTTTTAAATTAAAATATACCGAAACACCGTGATTTTTTAGCCAATGTTTTTAAATTTCATTAGGTACAACCATTGCATCGGAGAAAAAATTTGCATAATATATTTCTCATATTTTAATGTAGAATATTAAATCTCAGTTCTGGAATGTTAGCATAAACATTCTTAACTGGTATACCATGTCATCTATAATCCCTTTAATGACGGTTATAAATATTAAATTACCTCCCCGTTATAAAAGCATCTTCTTTGAAATGCCATGTTATCTCATTAATTAATTCCAAAAAAAGTACCTGGAGATTTAATTTCTTCTTTTTTTTCAGATTTTGTTTAACAAAAAGTAAAAGAAAATAAGTATTCCATACAAGCTCGTAAAAGTTAGCATAAAAGATAAATAAAAAAATACTCATATACGGGGATTCGTGGAATGGCTGGAACTGCAACTAATAGTCGTCGAAGATGGTCAAGTAAGATTTTTTTTTCTATTTTATTGTTGTTTTGTTGTTTATTTGAAGAGTTTGAAGACTATTTATATCTTGAGCTAGGTTGTAAAATACAAGGTTCGCCAGTGGCGTATCATTATTTTTTTACTTCAGAAGGTTACGCTCCGTTTAAGAAGATACAATATTTTTTATTGAAATTGTTGTCGAGTTATCGTGTTTTTTTTTGTATAATACCAACAATTTGAAAATAGGATGTCTGGCCTTCGACCACGGGGTCCATTACTAACTTACATGTTTTATGTTCTACCATCAGTTCTTATACCTATACTTTTTACTAATTTAGCTTAATACTAATTAAGTATAAGATCAGTAGATGTTGGTAAGGGTAAGATTTGTGACATTTCCTTGTAAACGGGCCGTGTAAATAATGTTTAAAAACAAATCTACCTAAAATTAGTTGTAGAGTAAATGTTTATTAATTTTCACCCAAACCCCCTGGCCCACTTGAAGTTACGCCATTAAAAAGTTGTATGGCATGAATTTAAACTGGTTGTGTTTTACAATTTTACATTCATAAATCCGCAATTAAGAGTAAAGCTATAATTTACTTAAAAACCAGATTGTGATCCGAGTGAGGTCAAACTCTCCTCTATTCTTAAAAAACAACAATCTAGTGCAAAAAAACGAATAGGTATGTTTGCTTTCATAGAAATGAATCATACGTAAACACTAATTATCATAACATATAGCGTAGAAACTAATGAATTTGTGAAGGCTGGGTAATGGATATATAAAAAAGAAATAAAACAAAATACTGTAAAATTGCATAAATTGATAGAGTGATTGATTCGAAACCCTGAAAAAATAATAGCAATAGTGTTTTTGTATAATCCAGAATTCTAAACTTTACAAGGTACCTTCATATTAAGTACACCTACCTAAAGTTTGCTGATTAGTCTACTAAATTTCATTGGTTATCACATTTATTTTTTTCACTTGACTGCCTCGGGCTAGATAACATTTTTAAATTTTTACTTTATTCTAAAATAAATTTAAAAAACTTTTCAATGGTTATTAGCAATAATATTAGCAAGGCTATTATTTCTTGTAATAATATGTAGATTAATTTTTGTTTATTAAGCAAAACGTAGTACCTAACTAATTCTAAGTAGGTATAATTAATTTTTTTTATAGGAAATTTGTGATTCATAAAAATATTTAATTACGTGTTTTTGAAACAAACATCTAACAAAACAATATATTTCTTTTTTATGTCATTAAATATTGTGATTCCTTGGAAATCCCAAATCAATTTACGCGAAATGATATAAAGTATCGTTAATGTAAGATAGTAGGAGAGCTCACTGCAAATTTTGGCCGTCATCTAATAACAAAATGAAATATGCTCTGACGGCATGTAACATTGTACTTTAGCGAACGGCACCTGTGCCAATCACTATCCTGAGTTAAAAGGGTTAAAATAATTTATTTCATATACAATAATAATAACAGACTTTTATTTAAATCCTCTAAAAAGAAGAAAATAAATTTTAAATTAAATCGAACCCATCAATTTATTACATTATAGAATTTATATTGTAACCATTGTTTAATTTAAACAATTTATTTTTACTATACACTTATATTGAAACTTATCGTCTACCGACAAACTCGCGCTATTTATAAAAATAAAACAATCTAGAAAGAACCGACTCTGATTAGAAGCTCAGCCTAGAAGTTCTGGAAATTATCCTCCACCGTCAGACTGCGATAAAAAACATTCGAGTCGGTTTCTCGAGTCTCGCATGACTTTATGTCGCGGTACGGCAGTAAACAAAGAACAGAGTAGGCCTCAGACGATCTCACGACATGATATAAAAGCTTGTCGCAAGATTTAAATGTGTAAATTTATTTTATGAAATACATTTTTTTCTTAAAATTACTTGTGTCAAGATCAAGTTACATATTGTATTTTTGTTTATTTACACAGGTAAATATCACGACAAACTTTTATATCATACAGATTCGGCTTAAATTGTTCTTGGGTATTGCGAATAAACAGAAAGAACTTTGATAATTCTATAAAAAGCAAACGAATTCAATTTTTATTTGTATTGTGACGATAGTCTAATTTATTTATAGTTTATTTATTTAAAACACACTATTTTCAATTTATTTATGACGTACTATTTAATTTATATAATAATTAGACACTAACTCACAGTTCTAATTTATTTATTACATTTATGTGTTCAGTCCAATACTCTATACTATACTAAACTAAACTGATCGCCGATGAGTAGGGCTATTTATACCAAGTCCAACTCTGCTACGAGAAATCTCTAGACGCTCCCGAAAATTCCATCTCTGATTCAACGGCACGCATCGTCCGTTCTGGTATATTCGAGACGCAATCCGACTGTCTTCACACGTCAGCGGTGCTTCGATCATGAATCGAGTGGTAGACTTCCAAGGTCGCACTTACACAGGGTTCCTCCTGGAACTAAAACTGAATGGTTGTATTTGCAACTGGATCCTCTTTTACAATTTCCAGTTGCATGGAAGGAACAAGGCACAGTTTTCGTAATAACCTGAACGCTGGGAGAATGGCTGCAGACCAGTATTTCAACCTGGGTATCTTGGAAGATTACTTCCACCATGTCTGCTAATGATCCTCCAATTCAGCTGGTTGCTCTCTATCTTTGGCATAGCTAGTTTCTGTACATTGGACTCCAATATATGCTCCCTCAGACTGAGTAATGCTTCCCATACATCATGATAGGTAGATCGATCTCGGAAGGTGTTCGTTGTTACCAAATAGAAAAGATAACGCGATTCATCTTGAAGTTATGCTTTTCCAGGAGCTGGTAACTGATCTTGAAGTTCTGGCAATCGACTAAACTTCTTCCGGAATACAGATGCCAGACCTCAAGCGTCGTAGATGTTGGCGGAAGTGCTATGGGCCAGTGAGTAATCTTTAGGAACCGTGAGCAGGTCTTGTTGTTGCTCGGTTGTAACACCATGTCTTGCTTTTCCGGTACCTCCATATGCACCCATAAATTCTTCAATGACAAGGTCAGGTGTTTCTTGGAGCTGGTTTACTTCTTCCTCTTTATGATCACCCTCAAATGGCGCGAGCCGGTTTTGGTGCACTACCTTTGGTTTACCGTTCGGGATCTTACTTATACGTTAAATGACATCATTTTTTTTTTCTTGATGAGGTATATACCTTCCCAAGACCTTTGAAGCTTCGGACAATAACCCTTTTGTTTTTTTGGGTTATGGAGCCAGACTTTGTCGTCTTCCTTAAATCATCCTTCTGTGGCTTGGGTATCGTATCGCTTCTTCATTCTGTCTCTGAGGATTTGAAGATGCGAGCGGATCAATTCATGCATATCGTCCGTTCTTCTTCGTAACTGGATTTCATAATCTTTACCAGCTATATCTTCTCCAGGTCGGCATCCAAACTCGAGGTCGCAGGGTAGTCTCATCTCACGCCCAAACAGGGCCTTTGCTGGTGTTTGGCCTGTTGATTCATTGACAACGGATCTATAAGCCATTGCAAAGAGCGAAAGATACTGACCATTCTCGCTGATGATTTGAAACTACTTTTGATAGATATTTTCCAATGGTTTTCCATCGGATTGTGGGTGCAATGCTGTGGTTCTGGTTTTGTTCATGCCTAATCTGTCACAGATTCCACGGAAGAGTTGGCTTTCAAAATTTCTGCCTTGGTCACTGTGGATCTCCAAGGGCACTCCAAATCCACAGATAAATTCTTTTATCAACACATCTGCAACAGTTGCGGCCTCTTTATTTGGAATGGCGTAGACTTCCACCCACTTCGTGAAATAATCCATTCACCATCATGAATTTATTACCATTCTCGGTCATGAGGAATTGTCCAGCAATATCTAAGGCGATCCTCTCAAATGGGCTACCAACGTTGTCATCATCGGAACTGTTCATCCAATAAAACCTTTCACGAACTCTCTGAAGGGTTTTCTTAGCAGAGAGATGTCCTCCTGATGGACTGTCGTGTAACTGACGAAGTACTTCGGCTACTCTACTCCTTGGAATGACCAACTGTCTTCTGTTCTCGGAACCATCATCATTTTCAAGTTGTTCAACCGAAGTTGTTGTATTGTAAATTGTAAAAATGACAATTAAATCAAACAAATAAACGTACCTATATTTGCAGTAAGAAGGGAATTATCCCCATTACCCCCCTTATCTACGCCCTTGGAGTTGATGAATTGGGATCGAAAATTTTGCTTTTGGAAAATTAAACATTTTTTTAGAAGATAATGAGAAAGTGGTTCATAATTTTTTCAATTTTAGTATATTCTACTTCTTTTTTTTTTCGAACTCTTCAAATTATTTTAAAAACGTGTCCATTTAACAGGTAATCTTGTATTTTTGCTTTTCGACAAGGTCGTATATATTTAAATAGACCGGATAGTACGAGGCAATTATAAATATTTCAATGTCAGTTTCTTAATTTTCGATATCTAGGAAATATTTAATTTGCTTGAACCAGTTTCTTTAATTCAGCGTAATGAACAATGCCAAATATTATTAAGGAGGCTGGACATTTTATTAATATTTATTAGTATTCTGAATTTTTGAATTTAAATAGAATACTGCAGGAATGTAATTTGTAATTGTGAAATTATGAATACATTACTGTTATTTAAAAAAGTCTCATAATATTATTTATAGGAATTTTCGTATTTTTAGATATATTAACATGTCGTCAAGTATTAAATATAATGGTCATCACGGGCTTCATGTTCAACTACATGTTACGAGTGAACTTGACCATAGCCATAGTAGAGATGGTGCAAAGTGTTGCAACAAATTCTTCTGCAACAAACTCAACCAACTCAACGACAGCCATAGTTCCCGTACACAATCACCACTTCAACTGGACAGCTTCACAGGTAAAAATTCTTCCAGTTCATTGTTATGAATTTATTTTGCATGCTGAGAACAATAGTGGCGAAACTCAGAAATCCACCAAACGACGCGCAGTATATTTTATAGTTGTAAATCTTCAATTAATGTATATCAACACAAATTATGTTGATAAGTTAAAAAAAGAAACAAGTTTAGTTACTTGAAACCGAGTGTTTTGTACTTTAAATATTCTGCAATCAATCTAATCGAGGCTGCTGTGCAAAGATTCCGGTGTTCTGCGAATATTCTTGTCGGAAATAAACGACCAATTTTAATAATTGCGAATTTAAATTCAGCCTGTTATTTTTTTATTATTTGATTTTTACACACCAACGTATCTATCAAGTTTTTCGTTATCTGCGGAAGTTACCGAATTTTTTAGAACTTGATTTTCAATAGTTTTCATAACTAATTATTAAAATTATCGCAGTCATTATACTCGTTATAGTAAATAAAATTTGCTTTAAAAAACCATTAAGTAATTAAGATTCATGGGTTTTAAACTACCATTTGCATGAATTTGTAATAGCTTACTTTAACACATTCTCAAATAAAAATAAAGAGCAATTAAAAGTATCCACATTTTGTTACATATTTATATATGAGTGACAATTTGAAAACGAACAGCATTTAATATTTCTTTAACCGATGATACTATAAAAATTTGGCGAAGCACATCAATTTACATATCAAGGGGGATAACTTTTGAAGTATTTGTTGTATTACATTCAACCCCCTCGCCCTCAGAGAACCGACCCCTAAAATTTTAAATAGCAAGCCCCTTTTTTAAAATTCTTGTGATTCTAGATAAGTTACATCTATTTTTAATTGTTTTTTCTCAAAATTAAAGTACTTAATCTCACGAATGTATGGAATGTATTTCATTTAATTTAAAATAATTCAAGTTTCAATGGAGTTGCACCATAATACCCACCTCTTAAAAAGTGTGATAATAAACTGCCGTCCTAAGAAAGGCCCTCGTGTCTCCAGAAAACATGATTTCGAGAAAAAACGCGGTTTAACATATTTTGTTTGGCCGCAAAGCTATATACGGGGAAATAATTTTCTATGGTAAATTTAGGCAAAAAAAGCAAATACGGTTTTTTTCTTAGTAAAATGGTAGTTTGTACTACCAGAAATATGTATATTAGGGTGATTATTTTTTCGACTATTTTTTATTTTCGCTCCCGTCCTGAAATTTTGTTGAAAATGCCCCAAAAAAAATTCCCTGAAAGTTTGAGACCTTAATATTAATATTAAGTCCTCGACCAAGGCGTGCAAAGATTTTCCATTTAAATATTGAGAGAAATGAGTGCTCCCATACTTTGAAAATATGTTCCCAGATGGTATTTTTGGAGTTGTAATCTCCACCGATTATAAATTTGTTACCTGTTTTTTGAGTACATTCAGATAATTTTCTTTTTTCTGGTTGTGTCTTGGTGTGCAATAGAATGCAGATATTGTAATTTTGCCTCCTTAGTGTTAATGGTGGTAATTGTTACCTGATTTTCTGGTTTTTATATGTCTAGTTCTTTATGAGAAATGTTGCATTTGATAGGTGGATAGTGTGATAGGAGTTGTATCATCTGAATTTAATGTAAGGCTACTTTTATAACTTAAGGCTGTATGTCACGATACTAAATTGAGTACTAAATTTAGAACTAAATTAATGCATTTTTTAAGTACTAAAAAAATTCACGTTGCAAACAGCAAATTTAGTACTAAATTTAGTACTAAAAAAAGTCATTCATTAATTATATCTTGTTCTATTTTCTACTAAATTTAGTACTAAAAGTGCGCCGAAATGTTGCGCAGACGTTTTTTATAGAAAAAGTTGACACGACGGTATTTTCTGTACCCTTTTATTTTTAATTAGCGACAATTTTACATTATCGCCTTCAATAAAGTTCGCTTGTTTGATTTTGTAGGTTTTATTGTGTTTTTTTCGTGGTTATTATGCTGTATTTGGTTGTTGTCAAGTCAACTAGTATCAAATTGATAATAAAAACACCATTTACTTCACTTGTCTGTTTCACACAGAATATTAGGCATTCCAAACTGAATGGCTACCAGTGGGTTCTGACGGGTTATGATATGGCAAAATTATGGAAACCCTGTAGGTCTTTTGATTTGACAAGGTCAATGAAATAGATAGTTACATAGATTGATCATCCATATTTTTCAAAATAAACATAAGCTTATGCCTTGAAGTAAAAATATAAGAAATTATTTTTTTTTTAAATATATAAAGGCTAAAAATTGGTTTTAAAACACATTTTTGCTAAACCGATTCAAATTAATAAACTGGCCGCTCGTAAACGACCAGCTTTGAGCAATCTATATAACTATATATGTATCATTGACCCTGTTACTGACAACATGACAACAGGGTTGCCATATCTAAACTGTCATTACCCACTGGTAGCCATTTGGACAGGTCGTTGGAATGCCTAATTTCATTTCTCTGCTAATTTCACGTATTAATACGTCAATGCGCGTGCGCCTATTCGCTCCGTGCGCGACAGCAGCGCCAATTTGTTTTGGTATTAAAGGAGTATTTCTGCCTATACTGACAAATACAATTTTTAATAGAATTCGTAAATAAAAAGTATATATGTTAGTTTTAATAAAAGTATATGGATTTATAAAACAATTAAAACATTAATTTATTATTATTATATATTTTTCATGCTTAAATTGAAGAAAATTATGTATAATCATTAAAAATCAATAATAAAATATAGGCAGGCAACAGTATTTACTGGAAAATGTATGAGAAGTTGCCTAAGTCTAATAAGTTGTCATTGAAGAAACCATTTATAATAGCGTGAAGTTAAAATGTATAAAAAGGATCGCTACTTATATTTTCATTTTTTTTTCTAAAGAAAACATAGAATGAATGATTAAAACTGGTTTCCGATCAGTAAGTCACAAAATTGCATGCCAGCCAAATATTATAATCAACGGCAGAAATCTTGAAATCTAATCCTTGCTGAATGAACATTTAAGAATAAAGGGATATTAAAGAACATCGTAAAATGATAATTTATTGTTTATTTAAAAACTTTCTAGTTTCTGATGTCTACTATTTCCAGCATTACTGTTATTATCACAAAAATAAAGGTAATTTTTCTTCTTATTGTACACCTATCCATTTATTTCTTTGATTTAATTTCCACTTTGTTAGTGAAATTTGTTATATAAGTTTCACTGTTTTTTTTTTGGTAGTATTTGTACAATTTTCAACACAGCAACTCCGGTTGCTTATTGTGTTGTTTTTACCTACTTTTTTGAAAAAAAGTAAAATGTATACGTGTATTTGATATGCCAAAATTACAAAATATCCCCCTAAAATGCACGAATTATCCGCAGCTAGCGCTAGTATCGCTTTTGCTTCCCTTTCCATGACTTCGCACGGAGCGAATAGTAAATTTAGTACTAAAAATGGGTATCGTTGCAAACGGAAAAAAATATTTTTAGTTCTAAATTTACTACTAAATTAATAACTTAATTTAGTGCTAAATTTAGTACTTAATTTAGTATCGTGACATACAGCCTTTACATGAGAAAAAATATGTTTATTGATCAGGCCAGAATCCTATAAACGAACTTTATTGTATTTGCCCAGTTTCAGTGCAGGTTAAAGGCATATAACTTAATCACTAGGAGGAAAATCCAATAAGTCGGCGCCTTATATCTTAATTTCGGTATATCTAAAGCAAACGTCAATTTAGAAAAAACTAAAAGCAATCCGTTTAATCGTGATATTTTCGGATCTCAACCTCACTTTTCTTTCGTTAAGTTATATTTACTATAAATTGACGCACGCTAAACCATTAAAAGTATTTAAATTGTAATTAAAAAATCTGATGTGTCCAACACATGACTTTCCGGTCTTAGCTAAAGTTATTATAGACTTTTTCCGGTTATTCTGTACGACCTTTTGTATCACCCCTGTAAATGTTTAGAGGATGAATTAAATACATACATTTTTCATACACATCTTACTCCGAAACATTTTTTATATACAGTGTGTCGCCGGATAGGTGAAACAACTCTTGGAATAGGTACAAAATTCTCGTTTTAAATTTTTATTTTTTGGGGTTCAACCTTGCTTGTTTAAAAAATAATTTTCAACATAATTTTAAGTATTGAGAACTCAAGTAGAATGTCTTAGAAATTTTCAGAAAATATATTTTCATATTAAAGTTTTATGTTGAAAATATGACCAAAATTTATTAAGAAAAGTTGTTTATTTTGTCAAGGTAGAGTAGCTTTTCGATAAAAGATACGCCAAAAAGTCATTTCAAAAAGTGTTGCTTGAAATCAAAATACACATCTCAAATTTCATATTGACAAAATAAATGAAAAATCATAGCGGGCTGAGGATTTTCAAATTTGGTGTATGGACATTGATGCCGATTCTAAACATTTCTTAATAACTTTTGGTCATATATGCAACATAAAAGGCACTTTACTTAGGATAAAATTAGGTTTTTTCAAAATTCTTGATTTCTCGAAACTGAAATTATGTTGAAAATTAGTCTTTAACCAAGCAGGGCTGAGCCCCAAAAAACTTTAAATCGAGAATTTTGTAGCTTTTTCAAGAGTCGTTTCACCTATTCGGGGGGACACTGTATATTTATTCAAATACTGAAAAAGGAAAATTTTACACTTTTCCTAAATGTTTTCCATTACGGTCCATTTTAGAGTAATCATGGAACAAAAATTATAGAAAATGATATGTGAATAATTTAGGCATTATAAGTGAAAACGAGAAAAATTGTTCGTTTTCAGAAGAGCTCAATACGTAAAAATCCGTTGAAAACTCGAGGTTGAATCCTATAAATTCAGACAAATTAAAAAAAAGTCCAAAAGAATAAAAAATCTTTAAACGCTAATATTATCATAACTAAACTTTCCTATTACTTATCTGGTTTTCGCTCTGGGCTCTAGATTTTCACTTATCCACTTCATTTACAATAAATAACTACTCAAATAAAATCTTCTATGGATGTTCAATTTTTTTTAAATAATTTGAAATTTAAGAGTGGTAGACAAAAATATATCGAGGGTCACAGTACAAGACCTCGTAAGTTTTTATTTTGCATTCTATCTACCCAAAATAATTTAAACTATGTAATTTGGACAATAATATATTGATATTTAGGCTCTATGTAATAATCCCCGAGTATAAAATGGAAAAATTTATGAAAAACGGTGTTTTTAGAATGTTTCTTAAAATCATGTAAAAAAATATACGAGGTACTGCACTGTAACCCTCGATATGTGGTTTCAGAGTTGACAAGCATAGCCATCCATATAGATTGATTTCATTAAGTTGGAGTGAATAAAATAAAATCCATAATAAATGCATTGAAGAAATTATCCAAGAAAATCAATTTTAACTAAATTAGATGTAATTTCACGAAATTAGATGTATTATCACTAAGATGTAATAATTTTCAATAAATTTCGAAACCTAGCAATGTTATGTTGGAAGTGGCAACAGAGCTTACATCGGCATGGATATCTACGTTGTCTATTATAAGCGCACATGTCTTACACATTTATTCATTAATAAAGTTGTATTTACGTAAAATCCTTCTCTTTATCCCCTCTCTTAGTTTTCACCTTTCGTTTCCTCGCGCGGACCTACAAAAGGAGCGTAATGATTGTCGAATTAATCTTGGCATCGTGAATATTATATTTTATCAATGAATGGTTATATCTTTGGTAATACCTCAACAGTTGTCCTGTAAATTAAAGTGTTTCGCCTAAGTTTCATAGTGTCATCAGTTAAAGAAATATTAAATGCTGTTCGTTTTCAAAATGTCACCAGTATGATAGCCTACCAAATGTGCATTTATGAAAAATACTGATGTTTTGGCTACTTTAAATCATCAACATTTATTATAAAATAAAATTGTTAATACTATACCTTTTGCACCATTAAGCAAATATATTTTAAACCTAATCCTTATTTTCATTTTTTCATTTAATTTAAGTGTGTTTTTTTAATAAAACACTCATGTGCTTAAACTTAAAAAAAGTCATATTTTCACTACATGAATTTATTAAGCAAATGATTTCTTTGTATTTAAAAAAAAATCGTTTAGTACCGAGCCTACTGAAAAAACTCATGTAATTCAATTATTAGGCATTTTACCTACTACTAAAAATACTAAATGCGTAGGGTATAATTAAATGTATCCTTTTTTTGCAGAAAAACGAAGTTCTAGGGAGCTTCTTCTGGGGCTACATCCTAACAGAAATACCAGGCGGCCGAATGGCTGAGATGGTAGGTGCGAAAAGAATTTTCGGAGGCGGCATGCTACTAGCTAGCATTCTAACAGTACTAACACCAGGGTCGTGTTACTGGAATTTTTACGTTGCCGTCGCAATTAGGGCATTAGTCGGGTTCTGCTTGGGAGCCACTTGGCCCGCCATTCCACCCATGGCAGCTAAATGGATACCGCCCATGGAACGGTCGAAATTCATGGCTAACATGATGGCCAGCGCTTTAGGGGCAGCTTTAACATTGCCGGTAAGTGTATAGAATTCACCTATTACTGGAATGTATTATTATTTCAACTTGTGGAGAAAGTTAGTAGGTCCTGAAAATGTTTCTTCTGTCAAATTGTGACAGATCGCCGATAACTGTCAATTTTTAGATCAAATTTCAAAGCGTAAAAGCTAAAATGACGGTAAAAATTGATGATTCTAAAACGGCCAATTCACAATGATATTTTCCTAATAGCATGCGGCGCTACACTGGTCTCTGAGTCCAATTTCACTGTAAATAGCCTTGTATCAGCTATCACATACAGGCCCGACGAGACGGGGGACCGGGACGGGGTACAAAATCTCGGGGCCTGGGCACAAGGGGGGCCCGGCAGCTTAACAAAATAGGTTATAAGTAATTGGTTGCTAGACGTTCAGCTTTAGACGTAAATATCACTCTTTTTTACTTGCTTGCTTTTTAATATTTAAAGCTGTAAATAAAGAATTTATTCGGGTAATCAGCTACACCAATTGCAACACATTGTTCATTGGAAAGCCGATAGGAAAGCGCCATAATAAACGCTGGCAGTACTCACAATTCACTAAAATCTCAAGCGGTAGCATGCCGTCTCAGTGTGTATGGCATTGGTGTGCCTTGAGACCGTTGAGACCTGTGTAGCGCCGCATGCGGTAAGGTAAATATCAATAAATGAACCGTTTTATACAATACTGGCGGTTTGTAAATATTTGTTTCTTGTTAAAAAAAATTGTACAAAGACGTTAATGGAGGTTTTTAAATATTTGTTTCTTATTAAATTTTTTTGTACAAAGACGTTAATGGAGCATTGCCTTGAGGACTTTCCACTGTAACTCTTTTACTTCTAGATATCTGAATTTACAACGAAGAAACCCCTCTGTTATGGATAAAAACTCATGAACAATTTCATTTTTTGTGCAGGTTTGTGGTTTGTTAATCAATATATCTGGTTGGGAATCAGTTTTTTACGTAACTGGTGCCGTAGGGATAATATGGTCCATTTTATGGTTTGTTCTGGTGTTCGATTCCCCAGCCCAACACCCAAGGATAACGCCCGAAGAGAGAATGGACATAGAAAATAAGATAGCCGAGATGGATAACAATGGGAAAACAATGAAACCTGATAATGTTCCATGGAGGCAATTATTGACCAGCATGCCAGTTTGGGCTATTATTATAACGCACGGATGTTCAGTGTTTGGATATTTTACTGTGGTGAATCAGCTGCCTACTTATATGAAGGATGTATTGAAATTTGACATTAAGAAAAATGGACTTTTATCAAGTTTGCCTTATTTCGGTATGTAATTTTGTGCAATAATTATTTAAATTTAAATTTTAGGGTTCACCAACGTCTGGAAAACCCGGCAAAGGTTAGCAAATTTAATTTTTTTAAAGTTATTTCCTCGTCACGCGGAATATTTCATGACGTTTTAATTTAAACATAATTAGATAGGTATAGGTACGCGTCCATTCAAAAATGCATTGTGCATTGTTACTTAATAAATGTATAGTTTTTTTTACCTATGTAGATTTCAATAAATATAGCAATAACACATTTGATATCTGAAACTTAGGACGTTATACAGGGTGGGCCACTTAAAAGTTCCACCCCCCTTATATTCGTTATTTATTGAGATATCGAAATAATTATTTTTTTTTGTTGTTGGAAAGACTGGAATAAATACTTTCTTATGATTAATTCAATTATTCTGTGACGTCATGGCTTACTTCCGGTTTTTCCTGAAATAACAGAAAATCGCAATTTATTTTTTATTTTTAAATTGAAACCCACTTTTTTTATTCTAAATTTGAATTTCTGGGACATTTTTATATAATAATCGTGTATTAAAAATTTTCTGGCAGCTGTCAAAATAGCCGCCATATTGGATAATATTGTTCCTAAGCATGTTACTATTAATTCGTTTATGAAAAAAAAATATAGAAATGTATGATCTTTATAAAATCTTCGTAAGCTTCAAAATTATCATTGAGACCCATTTACCGTATACCAGTGGCGTATCTAAGCATTTTTATTATCAGCAAACCGTTTAATAATTCCATCCGCTTTATCTTCGTTGTTAATTGAGATATCGGAATGAAAATTTTTTTGTTTGAAAGCTTGGAATGAATATTGTCAAATAATTGATTTAACTGGTCTGTGATGTCATGGCTTATTTCCGGTTTTTCGAAAATAACAGTAAATCGCAATTAATTTTTAAATGGAAACCCACTTTTTTATTGAAAATTTATATTTCTTGAGCATATCTGTCATCGAACTGAATTCATACGATTTCAGCGCTTGCAACCACTACATCAGTCAACTACCTACTGATAAATAAAATAACAAAAAATAGTTATTTATGCTTATAATAAGTGTATAAAGAGGCCTTCAAAAAAGGCCTTTACATACGTATTGCATACGATATTTCTACTACCGTACATATTGCCCACTAAGATTAAAAATACAAAGGTTACTTTACGCACTAACGCGTAAAGAAAGTTTGAAATAAAATGTCATTTGTCATGTCAAAATACTAAAAATTGTGTCTGGTTGACGCACTAGTGCGTAAAAAGTTTTACTATACGCACTAGTGAAAAAAGTAAAACTTTATGCACTCCGTAGTGCGCATAATGTACGTACTTCAACGATCAGTAGCGGAAAAATAAATTAATACGACACACAACAGATCTTTAAATTTAAAAAATGTTTATTTTTATTTTAAATTTTAAAGTAGCTTAATTTCATCAGAAAGATTTAAGGAATCAATATAATAAAACAATACCTACCATTCAATAATACACATTGATAAGTTTAAGAAATTTAAATTTTCAATAAAAAAGTAGGTTTCCATTTAAAAATTAAAAATAAATTGCGATTTACGGTTATTTTCGAAAAAGCGGAAGTAAGCCATGATGTCACAGATCAGTTGAAGCAGTATTCGACGTTATTTATTCCAAGCTTTTAAACAAAAAAGTTTTCATTCCGATTTCTCAATTAATAAGGAATATAAAAGCGGGTGAAATTATTAAACGGTTTGCAATAACAAAAATCTTAGATACGCCACTGGTACAATGTAAATGGGTCTTAAAAAAATATTATCCAATATGGCGGCCATTTTGACAGCTGACAGTAAAATTTTAATATACGCTTCTTGTATAATATTGTCCCAGTAATTCAAATTTTCAACAAAAAAAAGGTTACGATTTTAAATTAAAAAATAAATTGCGATTTTAAGTTATATCCGGAAAAATCCAAAGTAAGCCATGACGTCACAGACCAATTGGATCCAGTATATGAAAGTATCTGTTATAAGCTTTTAAACAAAAAAGTTTTCATTCCGATATCTTAATTAATAACGAAGATAAAAGCGGATTGAATTATTAAACGGTTTGCTAATATTAAAAATGCTTAGATACGCCACTGGTATTCGGTAAATGGGTCTCAATGGGTATTTTGAAGATAACAAAAATTTTATAAAGATTATGCATTCCTATATTTTTTTTCATAAACGAATTAATAGTAACACGTTTAGAATAAATATTATCCAATATGGCGGCCATTTTGAAAGCTGTCAGAAAATTTTCAATACACGATTATTATAAAAAAATGTCCCAGAAATCCAAATTTACAATAAAAAAGTGGGTTTCAATTTAAAAATAAAAAATGAATTACGATTTTCTGTTATTTCCGGAAAAACCGGAAGTAAGCCATGACGTCACAGAATAATTGAATCCATCGTAAGAAAGTATTTGTTCTAGTATTTCAAACAAGAAAAAAATTATTTCGATATATCAATGAATAACGAAGATAAGGGAGGGGGGTGGAACTTTTAAGTGGCCCACCCTGTATACTAGCCGATTTTGTTTTTTCTGTAAAACATTTTTTTCTTGAAAATTTGATATACCAAGTATATGGGTGATTTGTTAGTAGTCATACAATCCAAAGCAAAAAAAAAATATGGATGGTTTTTTAAAATGGATTTAAGAGAAATTAAAAGAAACATCTAGAACAAATTATTCTAACGTAGATTTTTTAAGATATCTGATCTTAATTCTTTTTAATCCTATTGACAATGATTAGGTTAATCTCGTGAAACAGATAAGAAAAGATAATATGCGAATTATTAATTAAAATGTTATCTTGACAATTTTAAATAGTTCTGCAGTTAGAACCTTGAACTTGCAACCTCAAAGGTCGATGATTCGATTTCATCATTTTGTCACTTTCATATTGTGGGTTGGCTATAAATGTGCAACAAAATTTTGATATTGTTCTGTTCAATTTTATTTTTGCTGTTGTAAAAATAAGAATGATACGATAAACAATGATTGTCATAAATTTTATTTACAATTATTGTTTTTTGTCAACATTTTTATGTTCAATTGTTTCGTTAAAAAAAAAAATAAGAACCAATCTACACGAATTTAATTGAAAACGAGGAACCGCGATCATCAGCTTCATTAGATGATGGATAATAAATGTAGTGAGAATTACGTTACTCATGTTTGGCAAACAAAGAAATACGTTTATAGTTCATTAATTAAAATAATTATATGATGATATAAAGTCATAAAGAAAAATCGAATTGAAAATTACAGATTCTAAAGCAAACATTAAACTAATTAGGTGCCATATTATTTACATAGATAGAAACTATTAAAGAACAGTAATTTTCATATTTTGTCAGTGTTAATTTTAAATCCTTTTAACACGACGTTCAATTGATAACTTATATTATTCCTAGATGACTATATAATTATTAAAAACAATATGTTTGCAGAATTAACAAAGACTTCAAAATTTATTAATGTCGCATGACTGTTGCAACTTAATAAAACCATAATTATAATTAGTTTGATTATAAGTCCTGTAATAAAGAAATTATATACATACTCTGCTCAATTTGAAATATAATTAACTTTAATTTTAATGACACAGATAATGTTTAATCATCTTGTAGACACTATAAAAAAATTAAGCAATATAACAAAAATTACTATCACAAAAATATAGACACGATTAGTGTAACGTCATGATGATTTAAGGCAATTTTACTACTGTTACGAGAAATTGAAAAATATATAACGTTTATTTATTTTTTACAGTTTGTTTATTTATTTTATTTATACATTTATATTCAATAATTTATTCAATAACACAGCCCCACAAAAAAAAGTGTTCAGACTTACCGGTCGGACATATGTATTCCCATGTATTTTTCGACGCTGAATCCGATACCGAGCTCAGAAATTGCCTACACTGGAATTGGCCACAGGGGCCAAAATTGGCCTCTATATGGTCTGAAATGTGGAAGAATCAGGACTGGCCCAAATCGAGTTCCTGAAGGTTTTCGAGGTCGCTGATCACGATTATGATGTTCAAATTGAACCACAGCCGACCTGGAACTCTAAACAGTTTTTACATTATTTCTCTAGGAAATTTGTTACTTAAGCCATTATGTTACATAATGGCCGACAGAGCGTCGCCTTTTTATACTGCAAAACGCTGTGATGTGTTTGACGGTTTCTGATGTTTACCAATAAAAAGTGCATTACGCCGGTGGTACTAACCAATGAAAGTGGATGACGCCTATGGCAGTAACCAATGAGAAGTGGGTAAGAAGTAAATTATGTCTGTGATGAAGTTATTTGTTGGGAGACCTTCCTTATCGGTCCAAACGGTGCCTCTTACAGAAACGTCTCCAGGAGTAGTAAAAAATCGAGAATGAAAACTTAGTGCATATTGGATGCAATATTGATGAATGTAATTCAACAAATGTTATACACTGTCTGCTTAGATACTCCAGTATTATATGTCTCACATTTATTGGCTATTTCATTCACAGAAAGTGAAACAGTCTTTTCGAAGATTATTAAAGTACGATATTTTTTTCTTCCAAAGATAATACTTTATATCCACTAAGTCGTTTACGGCAATAAATAAATATAGTCTAACTTATCTGTCAAAAGAAAAGGTTTATTACAGTAAAAGCCATGGAAACAAGATTAAATCTAAACGAAAACTTTTATAAGGCCGATCAGCAATATTAAAATGTTTATTTTAACTACAAATAAGCATTGAAGGATGAGGTATAAATAAAATGTCTACCTCTTGAACCTGTACTACGTTCAGCAAATTAAATTGCTGTACCTACTCCTTTCTTCTTTAGACTTTATACTGTTGATCGGTATTGTCCATAGGCGTCCCATTTACCACAGGCATAACATTAAGTTGGATTTAATGGGTTACTTACAACTCTTGTTACATAATATACTATAGTGTACCATTGGCCTGGCATGTTATTTTGCTTTACTAACCTACATGCAAGATGGGAATCAATAGTGAATCAAGCGCTCATGAATGAGGATTCGTCGTAGATAGGATCTAAAAGATGCTTTAGACATCATGAATGCTATCAACATCCTTTATGGACCTGGTATCGATGATTCAGTATGAGATAAGCCGATAAAACTCGCATATGAACGTTTTATTCCAAAATTTTTTAGTGTTCAAAACTTTAAAGCGTTTTTCCCACAACTCACGTTTTCAAAGTCGGTGCCCCTCATAACTTCAAAACTACTGCACCTATCCTTTTGAAATTTTGAACACTATTTCTTTACATAATTTACGAGGTAACGCTGGAGAGTTTCTTTCAAAATTGTTAATATTTTTAAATTGGCCTATTTTTTTTGCAAGAATAGCGTTTTTTACTTCAAAGTGTTCCCAAAAAGTGAAAAATTTAAATTTCGAAAAATCCTCCTCGCGTTACCTGGGGAAAGCGATTATCTAACGAGAGAACGTTTATTTGTTTATTTCTGATGATCCAGTACAGAGTTATGGCATAGTTACCAGTAAATATCACATCTCTTCTGTCTACGAAAATTAAAGAAATTTTCGATTCCATAATAAATTTTATAAAAACAACCACCATCGACATATAATTTATTTTTCATGTTTGCTTCTCTTTCTCTTATGTTATCTCCTTTATATAAAATAGAATTTAGCAAATAGTATAAACTAATGCCATTCGCATCATGCACCAACACAACAACAAAGTACTTTAGCAAAATTTTGCCGTTCAGATATCACAGGAGGCCGAAGAAATAACTGTTAAAGTTGAAAATTGTATGTCTCCTATGTCCCGTGACGTGTATCAAGAAATTCAGAAAAATTAAATTTTGTTGCCAAAATGTCTACTATTATTTTCCGATTAGTCCCATCTCTGGATGTATTGTAGGAAGAATGAAATAGAAAAATAATTAGGTGTCCGTTCTTTTTTTAATAATTCTGAACACTGCATTAAGTGGTGTTGCAACAAAATAAAAAGGGTAGCGTCGATTAAAATTTACTGATAGTATATTTTAAAAATTTTTTAGTTGTGGATGTGCATTTTAAATAAATAATAATACCTAAATTAAAAATTCTCGATATCCAAATTTAATTTTACTTTTTTCTTCTAGGCAAATATTTAATGGCAGTGATAGCTAGCTACGTAGCAGATAAAATAAGAAAATCTGGAAAACTTTCCACAACAACCACGAGAAAAGTCTTTACGACATTTGCTTGTTCCCTCCCAGCTCTGATGATGGCGATTCAAGCGATTTGGGGAAAAACGGCCGCGCTGTCAGTGACGGTGTTCACATGTGCTTTATTTTTCAATGGTGCCGTCACAGCTGGATACCTGTCAAATGTCTTGGACATCGCTCCCAACTTTTCAGGTACCATATTTGGTATGGCAAACACACTATCTTCAATATCTGGATGGGTTTCGACCAAAATTGTGGCTTTGATCACAGAAACCGAAAGTTCTTTCTACACCTGGAGGTACATTTTCTGGATATTAGTCGGAACATACGGATTAGGTGCTATATTTTTCCTGGTGTTTGGCACAGGTAAATTACAGAAATTTAATTCTATACCGTGCAATAGTATTCACGACAAAGAGATGCAACCTCTTAAATCGCCCATTGAAATCGAGAAAGAAAAAGAGGCCATGGCCTAAAATATACAACTGAATTAATTGATATTTAATTCGTTTAATCCGGAGACAGCCTTCTTCACTCATTATGGACTTAAATCTGCGAAAAGATAAACTGAATGGCTGGCTCATTTTGGAATTCTGCAATTGGTCAGAAAATACTCTTAAAAGTCAAAGTTATTTGCAATATTTTGTCAAGTCAAATTATTTACTTAATATAAAATTGTCAAAAATTGATCTCGCTTGCTAAAATATAGCAAATAACGCTGGTTTTACCGTAACATTCCCAGTATTTCTCGACAGATTTTAAATTATGATCCTTAATGGTAATACAAACATAAAAGAAGTGCCACTGAATGTTATTGGTGCTATAAAAATTTATATTTATTTAATACGCTGACTAAAGTATTTATCAACACAAATTTTTTTTTATTGTAAATGTTTTTCATTCAGAATCAAAATAAATTCACAGAACTTTTATTTTTGAATTTATACAAGTACTTTGTAATAAAAACATAGAAAAAAAGAATAGTGTTTTATTTCTTTTTTACCTCTTTCTGTAGTAAAACAATTTGTGCGGCGTAGAAATTGTAAGCGCCCAATGAAGAAAGGAAACAAGGTTCTATGTATATGTATGGACGAGTGGGGGCCGTCCAAAAATTTTCCAGGGGGGTAAGTCTCATAGGCAGGTTAAAAACGCCACAGGTTATAATCGAAAGCCATGGTGAAAAAATTCAAAATTACTTATCCAGGGAGGGGGCAGATGCCCTCTTGTCCTCATATGGCGGCGCCCTTGTACGGGCGAAATTATTTATTTCTGGTGTGGATATTTAGAAGTCATACTCAACCTGCGACCCGCAGGCCGCATGCGGCCCTTCAAGCTTTTCTTTGCGGCCCGAAACACTATTATTAAGAAGGTGAAAACTATTGGTTTCTGTTTTTAAAATCTTGAGCGAAATCTGCGAAAACTTTTGGATCAAGGTGTTACTGCAAAAACAAGATAGCTCCACTTTCGGCATTTTCGTCTCCAAAATAGTTCAAGACAAGTGTAAACGAAGTCTATATTCATGATAAACAGATGGTCAATAAAAACTAACTCCATGTTAATACATATGCACAAACAAGATGAGTGGCATTTATACTGAAATATAAACATAGCATTGTGTTCAATTGCTAATAGTGTGTGTCTATCAAAACCAGATAAGAGACATGTAACTTATTTTTTCTAAATATATTTAGTTCGATTCCTAATAGTGTTTCTGCCAAAACAAGATAGAAGCCAGAACACTTATATTTGTTGAATACTTTTTGCCTAAGCCATTTGTTTTGCCTAGAATCATCTCTGGCCTTTCTCGATGGGTCCGAAATCGATAAGGTGATTACGTCACCCTTTCTTTCAACGATACAGCTAACCTAAATAAATAGATGATAACACGTGATGCCCTAATCGGGGTGTTGAATGATTGATTGGTCAAGCTGTTACGAGTGATTGGTTAAGCCGTAACGATCGGGCATGCTGACGCTCGTCAACATATTGTTTGCACGTTAAAACGACCAGAAGCACTTCTTAAATCACCGAAACAACACTTAAACACCAGCTTTTCGCATTGTTTGAAAAACCCAAGCCATGCCGGCAGAGTAATGCCTGAAAGAGTGAAAAAATGCTCTGAAAATACTTATAAAAAAGTGCATATATTAGTAATGCCAAGAAGATTTACTAAAACTTTGCAAATCAGGTGCTACAACTGATGAATTTAACCATTATTATCACAATCTACCTTTATCCAATAAAGACACTTCCTGGACCTTCCACAAAATCTAGTGACACAGTTATTGTACATTAAGACCTGCACAGTGCACATACGTATCTAATAGAGAGAGACATTACATAAGAATTGTAGTCTGTCGAACGAAGATATGCGTCTCAATACGTGCCGTATCGAAAGATAAGAATCCCACTAATGTATGTAGACAGCTAAAATTGACTAAATGTATGTAAATAGGCCAAATAAAGTCAAAACGTAGATGAAAATTTGATTGCAATTTGATTAAACTAAGAAATTTAAGTTTTCTTATCAAAACGCACGTGTAATGAATGTCATTTACAAGGAATGTTGACAGTGCGATTTTTAACGTTTACTGACACGGGGGTAGAAAAATAAGTTTTATTGTGGCAAAAGTAGCTTGTGTATAAAAACGGAAGGACACGATCACTTTTTTATTTCAAAAAGGGGGACGTTATAGAAAAAAAGTTTGAGAACCACTGCTCTAGGGGATGGTAATGGTAAGATTTTTATACAAAAACGTTGCAAATCAGGGGCGTATTTCATAAAATTACTTACAAATTTGCACTTAGCAAATTTACAAGTGCAAAATACTTATGTTTCATAAAATATCTCGTTATATTTGCAAATTCCTTTTCAAATCTTACTTTTTGACTCGTCAAATTTCTCTTTTACGAAACATAAATTTACTAAAATATATAAAGGGCAAAGTACTTTTATGAAACAGACTCCTGGTCTATTGTAAATGTGCTAAAAATTTGATTTTTATTTCATCTGTAACTATTTTTAAATACCAGCCCCCACATCCGAACTATGACAGTTCAGGTCGAAAATTTTTTTAATACAAAAATATTTTTGGAATAATTTTATCAAAAAAAATTGAAATATTTAGTTTTTATCTAGAAAAAATCGTAGATTGTATTTAAAAAAAATTTAACTTAATTTGGGTGGGTTGGGTGGGAGACTTTTTTTTTGTGGCTTTCATATTTTTGGCAGAGATAACTAATCTCTGATTTTTGGGATAATACATCTATTCGCTCCGTGAGTGACAGCAGCGCCAATTCATTTATGTACTAATGGACTATTTTTGTCTATACTGACAATACAATTTTTAATAGAATTCCTAATTAAAAGGAATATATGTTGGTTTTAATAAAAGTATACAGATTTGTAAATCAAGTCAAACATTAATTTATTATTATATATTTTTATCGCTTAAACTAAAAAAAATTAAGTAAGATCAATAATAAAATATAGGCAGGCAACAGTATTTACGGGAAAATGTATGAGAAGTCTAATAAGATCTCTTTGAAGAATTATATTTCTATTAAACAGGTAATTTAAATGTTTTATTAGTTTTTTTTAACTCCTGCTATTCGAGTGATGTATTTATAATAACAAGGTGACCATAAAGTTGACCCATATTCAAGAGTGCTTCTAACCATTGAGTTATATAATATTAAAATAGACTTAGCATTAGAAACATTTTTTTTTATTTCTGAGATTAAACCCTAAGGTTCTTAAAGATTTTTGGACAACATTTTCTACATGAATGTCAAAGTTTAACTTAGAATCAAGGGTAATTCCAAGATCTTTGATACTAGAAACTTCTCTGATATTATTCTGGATGAAGTAATTCCACTGGATATAGGACAATCGCGAAAAGGTTATTTTATTACATTTATCAATATTTAAAACCAGACGATTTGTCCCACAATATTCATAAAAGCCGAGCTATGTCCTCCTGCAACAACCTTTTCAATCTCTTCTACTTTCAATAATTTTAGATCGTCGGCATATAACAGACATTGAGAATTTTTAAAGCATGTCGTTATATCATATGTAAATATGCTAAAAAGTAAAGGACCTAGATGGGACCCTTGAGGCACCCGAGGTTATGGGTATAAAAGGCGAGTTCTTATTGTTGAATGTTACGCACATACTTCTGTTTGTTAAATAGGATTTAATCCATCGTAGAAGGTTGCCGTATACCCCAAAATTCTACAATTTTACTAACAAGGTTTCATTGCAATGACTATATTTTGGTCATTATTTTAAGTTCTGAGAAGTCTACAGCTGGATTTTCCTAGTAAGCTGATTTTTGTAAAATAAATAACCCTTATTATGTGTTTCAGTTGCATTACCTAACATACTGCCCCGCAGGCGTAGGTTAAGTCGAAGCCGTTTTATTAATAGTAGTTAAAATGAAATAACATAAAAATGGCCATGATATTGGCTTTATTGTAAAGATAACTTTAGTACCGATGGTTCGATTCTTTATAAAATAAAACAAATTTAATTAGCATACGATTGGGACGAGGTGTGGGGCGCCGACCCAACCGTTTATGGGGATCTGCTGCCTGTCGGTTTTTTTGATGAACACAAATGTTTACACAGTTTACATTGGGATGACGAAGTGTGCAGTTTGTTGTATTACTTCCGTTTGCGCCTATATTATTCGACCATTTTTTAATTCATTTTGAAATGGTCTAAGAAAAACGCCTTACCTTTTTGTAGGATATGGATAATTTTAGGAAAAATTTAATATATGCTTGAAGGGAAATAAGTACCGAAATGAACATATCTGAGGACCAATGCAAAAAAAGATAATACTTATCACTTAAATCACGTTTAACATGATGTACACGTACATGTGGTTAAATGGGTTCTTGTGGGTCGTAATTGCTTTGTTCCTTTTCCATTGATCTCTAGAAGTTCGTTGTGAAACTAATTTTAATAAACAATTCGCAAATTTGTTTTAAGCACACCAGATAATGACTTTTTGAGGATATAAGGACATCTCAATAATGGCTTGTAGATTTTCTTCACTCCAAATGTTTCAATTTTGCTTGTGGACGTAGCAAATCAACCAAAAATAGGCCTCATCAACAAATTTGATATTTTTTCTGATAAAAAAATAACATATTGGTGGTCAAACAATTTATTTTTACATTATTTACATTTGAAAATAAAAATTATCTGTGTAAATCTTAAATAACACTAGTAGTGTTCTACCGTAATACAATAAAAAATAAATGCTTTTAAAAATTACAATCAAATTTATTATTCTTACTTCCATCACAACCCATAGCGAAAGAAAAATGTAAATTTAAATGGCTAAAAAAGAATTATGCAAATTTACAGCTGATTGCAAGAAAATGATCCGTCTACAGGACTGTCTAAACATCTTTCGAAGTTTAACTGAGCATAAATACTAAGAGGAACGTTTTTGCAATCGGCTGTCGTTTTAAATTTTGGAATGATTTAATTTAATAGGAACGTAAAAATATTTTTTTCCATAACAATTTTGACACGTTGATAATAATTATGTATAGCTTTTTGTGCCCAAATTCCCAATTAATATTATTAACATTATACAAAAATTAGAACTACTAAAGGTTACACACAACTTGGAAATTTTTTGATATCACCTATACAATGTTTTTCAGAGAATATTTTCAAATTTAACGTAGGTAGTTTGAATAAAATATAAATCCCCTCGCCTTCTTTTTTGAAGGTTCCAAAAATATCCTTCATAAAATATGAAAACTGGTACCTTAATAAGCATAAAGCAAGCCAAATTTGTGCGAACAAATTACACTGTCAAAGTGGTAGCCCTATTTTTTGTACTATAAAAATTTAGTTTTTTGCACGATAATTTTGGTTATGCATAAAATAAAAACAAACATTATTTAGGTGATATTTATTCAAAAATTACATTATGCTAAAGGTTTAGAAACGAAATTAATATAAAAAAATTAAAAGTAGATGGTGTCTTAATATATAGGGAGAGGATGTCTCTATATAATTAGGCCAGTTGATTATTGTTTTGGTATTTCTCAAAGTGTATCAATTAAAAAAAACTGTTAAATATAGGGTGTTGTGTTCTCCATTGCCACCTATTAAATACGCGCCTGGGTGTGAGTACCTAAATGTCACTTGTGTTACACTTTTACAGGATGTTATTAAAAAATATTTACATAATATTTATATGTAATAAACTGCAAAGAAATAATTTCATTACAAACAGAACTGTATATCTGTGGAATGGTCTCCAGAAACATACAGTCTCAGCCCAATAAACTAGTTCAAGGTGCGAGTGGATAAAAAACTCTAAGTAGGAAGAAATATTTTTATTCATTAAGTTTTAACTGTCGTTTAGTAATTTAGAATAACAGAGCAGCTTCATCGACTATGTCACTTGCTCTTAACAATAATAATAAATTAATTTAGTTCAACAACTGAAATGAGTTTTTTATTCTAAGATAATTATTTTCTTAGTATTAATAACAATACCTAAAATGACATTAAGGCACTCTGTAGCGAGTATTGATGAGATTTTGTATCAACATTTTCATAAATGATTTAAGTAATTTTATTTATAAAAAATCCTTTATAAAGCTTTTATTTTATTCCATTTCTACTAATGTTTGACACAACTATTGAATATTTCCTGTAAAAAAAAATTAAAAAATAAATTTTTTTAATGTGCTGGACTTCATTCATTCATTCACGAGGTAACCAAATAAACATTGTAATTCTAATCTAGAGAAAGATCTGTTGGGTTTAAAAATTAACAAACAAAAAAATGTTGGTAGGTACTTATGCATCCAAATCATTGATGAAAAGCACTTCCTTATTTTTCAAACCGGCCTGTTCCAATGTCTCTATAATTTCATTGTTTTCCCGTCTGCACTTTAAAACCCTTTTTGGGAAATTTGTTGTTATCTCGAAACAATCTGGTGCATTTGGATTACAAAACACAAAGTAGAAAATGGACTGAAAGAAAAAAACATATTTATTTTCAAACCATAGGCATAGCAACAAACAACACAATTTCTTATATATCTTTTACCAGTTTTAACATTATGTTTATCTCAAAATATTAAAGCCACATAGAAACTAGGTAATTTAAAAAAAAAATTAAATTCTTACCTCCAAGGAATGTGTTTTGAGAAATCGTCTCTCCAGTCTGCTGCCACATGGCAATTTAAAAACTACATGTACTGCATCAGGATGCAAAGCATCAGGTTCTGCAGGAATTTTATACAACGAATTTATTTTTTCCTGTGCAAATTGTTCCCTACGTGCTTCTTCTGCCAGTCTTTCCTAGAAAAATAAATTACCACTTATTGACATGTAAATAATTGTTTTTAACTCACCTCTTCTATTTGACGAATTTCAGCTTCTTTAGCCATTCTTTCTTCCTCTCTTCTTCTTTCCTTTTCTTGATCTGCCCTTAAGCTTTCTTCAAAAGCCTCATCTTGTTGACATCTTAGAGACCTTAAAAAAAACTCAATGAGTAACATTAGTTATAATTTGGATGGTTTAATCCAAAAACAAAAATGTTCCATTAGTTATGGTTCACCCTGAATATACTACAAAGAAACTGAACATTTGGAGGATATCAAAAATTCATTTTAATTTTAAAAAAAGACCACTGTTTTTATTACTAAATATTTTTTTACCTGTTAATACTAGCTTCAAATCTGTCTGCTCTGGCAGACACCAAATTTATTTCATATTCATTCACAATTGAAGTCAGCCTCTGTTTCAGTAATGAGGAATCAGAATAACCCTCTATCCTACCTACAAAGTAAACATTTTTATAGATCAATATACTGAAAATACAAAACACATCAGAACATTTCAAAATTCAATTATTGTTAAACTTCTACCATAAACTGCTCAACAATAATGATTTGGTAATAAACCTATAAATACTTGATAATTCATGATTTTTATTAAAAAAGTATTAAATTATAAGGTACATACCTACAATAGTCATTCTATTTTCTTTTAAAACCAGAATAGCCAGAAAAGGAAAATGGCTAGCTTTAACTGCATTTGCAGTCTTCTTTCCTTCATCAGAGTCTGCTGAGCAACTCCAAAACAAAAATGTCTGATTGATATATCTCATTACTTCTTGATTACCAAGACTACCGGTGCAAAATAGGTCAGTGTCTGTTGCTGATGTATCATGTAGATATATTAAAAGGAATCTTAATTCTCTTTTTGCATCATTTAGAACTTGGGAAAAAGTACCCTGATAAAATACAGGGTGTTCAGTTGAGTATTTATCCTCATACATTTTGATAAAATCCATTACATCTTGAACAGGATTGCTTCTTGGTCTTAATTCAATACCTGAAAGATGGAAAATTGAAACAATGTTAAAAATGCTTCAAAGTTTTCACTGAGCATGATTTTCAAACCGGATTTAAATAGGGAGAATCAAACTCTATACAGGTTGAAAATCATATAAAACATGTAATATATAGAAACTGTATTCAAAATAAGACGAAAAATAACTGGATAAATGGGAGAAACCACTAATATTTGAGGAAAACACAAATTCTGGAGGAACAAAGAACAAAATGAATATGAATTTGCTCAACTTTTTTCTTTTCGCCCTTTGGACTCGCAGACTATATCTCTGGCACATCTCAAGTACACTCAGGATTCAAGTGTGGCAGCACTTTGGCCCAAACTGCTCATTGCAATTAAAATGGTTGAGTTTAAAATGAATTTAGTCATGTATATTTCAATGAAATACAATTTATTACTAAAACTATTATACACAAAAGTACTTACCTAGTAGTCTTCGTCCTAATTGTAATAAAGTGATGACTGTATTATAGCACATATTCAACATAAAATTAATGACTGTTTTCAGAATCCCTCTAAACCCACTACCTGACCCATCTGTAGGTGGTGAGTAGTAAAAATGCTGCCCTAAATGATCACTAACTATTGCAGGAGGCCTAGACTCTGATGCGTACACAGTTGGCCTGCCTTCTCTAATGTTCAATTGCTCTTGAACTGCTACTTCGAGATTCCATTGATGCCTTTGTAGCACGTCCCTGCATATTGTTAAATCCTCTATAGCTGTTAGTTCTTGAAATTGAAGTACTTTCTCCGTCTGTTCCGTGCTCAACCCGAGACTTTGGTTACTACTTAGATGGTCCATTTTGCCCTCTTTTTATACGTAATAATTAAATACATTAATCACAGGTGAAAATTACGTTTAGTTTTTATCGGCCAAACAATAAAGTGTCACATCATACTTTCCTACTCAACTCAACAAAAACTCAACCATTTTGAAATGTCAAATGTCAACAGTACGTCACGAGAAATTTATCATAGTATGGTTAAGCCCAGGTTACATTGTATCATTTTCAACTTTACGAAAAAAGATCTGGACAGGGATTCTTCATTGCGTTCGGTCTGCCACGTTCTTTTAACTCCTTTGGTAAAGTTGTAGGAAAGGTATGTACTTAACGCGCATCCTGGCCGCGCATATGTAAACATCGTTATATTTATCGCGTAGTTGTTTATATTTATTTATTTGTTATTTTACTTAGATTTTATTTATTAATAATATAAAAGTAGCAATCTGATAATGTTGTACAGTTATACTGTCGTAAAACCATAGATAAATTAATTATTTTATATGCGCGGCCAGGATGCGCGTCAGTACATACCTTTCCTGCAACTTTACCACACTTTTTACTCCAAACGACCCTTTTAGCGTTCGGTTTAGTCCGATTAGTGACAGTTTAACACGCTTAAATGTCATTTAAAAGCACCCTAAAAAAACTCCGCTTTTGTCCCGCTCCAGCCCCTGACTATCCGAACTCGCCTCTTATATGCGTACTCAACACGTAACGAATCAAATAGAGAGAGACATTACATACAAATTGCATTCTGTAGAACGAAGATAGAAGCTTCTCATCACGTGCTGAATTGAAAGATGAGAGTCCTGCTGCTGTTCTGGTTCTTCAGATATATGTTGAAAACTGTCCGAGTACTAGATGAAAAGTTGAAAAGTTTTACACGACGCATAATTTGTTATTCAACTTTTCCACTGGATCTCGGACGGTTTGCAGTACAATTTGAATAAACCAGAACAAGCCTAAAGATAAAAAAGTGTTTGCGAGTCTTATGTGCGAACTCGACACGTTGGTCGCAATTGGTCGAACGAAGATATGTGTCTCGACATTCGTATTTAAAGATGAGAATCCCATTGCTGAAAACTATGTAAATAACTTAGTACTGGTTAAAATCCTGAAGATTCCTAAGAGTTGGGACGGCCATGGTTTTGATTTTGAGCTAGTAATTTTTCCTTTCAGTGTTATTTACTTGTTTATCTAAGATCTGGAAGACCCCGGCGGAGTCTTAGGGCGGAGTGTACGCCTCGTACGAACCGTGGACAGAGTCAATTTTCTAAATATTCGTTCGGTGAGCGACGAACGTTTTATTCCACATGTTCGGAAACGGACCGATTATTTAATAAAGCTTTGTTCACACTTGTGAGTCCAATTTTCAACCCCAGGAACCAAACGGACAAACATGGCTTGAGTTCAATCAATCAAACGACCCTAGCACCGTTTGTGCTTGTGTGCTTGTTACCCAAAAATTAGAAGAAGACAATTACAAAAAAAGGTTATGCTGTTTTGTCAAAATTTAATAAAATAAACTGGGTAAATACGTATCGCGTAGTTTTTAAATACAATCAAACAGGATTTAAAATTCGTATCATATGTGAATATATTTAATATGGGAGGAAAACACAAAGTGGCCAATAGAACTAAAAACAACGCCAGGGTAAATTTGAAGGTGTCACCATATTTTGAAGATTTTTGTTCAAAACTTTTATTTTTTAGCCCTCTAATAGTGGAAGAAGTGCTGAACTTCTTGGAACTTCTATACCTCAATTCGTGGGATTTTCAGGAATTAAAGATTCTGCATTTGGATTTTCTGTATCCAATTCAGAAGACCTAGATGCTTCTTTGGACCCTAATATTCAAGTAATCCTAAAAAAGATTACAAAAAGAGACTCTACCACCAAAATTAAGGTTGTCAATAAATGCATTGTTCGACAATAGTAGATTTAAAATTTAAATTTATTTTAGGGATTGCAAGAATTTGCAACATTTGTAAAAGAATCGGATATAGATACTGTAAAATCAATTTTACCTATTTGGCCTAGATTTTATAATGTTCTAGCCACTGATACTGACAATCGTGTTAGAGAAGCAACACATAATGTTCATCATCAAATTGTTCTCAAGGTTAAAAGGAATATTGCCCCTTATTTAAAGCAATTAATGGCTCCTTGGTTTACATCTCAATATGACACATATCCTCCTGCTGCCAGTATTGCCTCACAAGCATTTACGGTAAATTGATTAATATCTAATAAGTATCTAGATATAGAGTGATTTTTTAACAACTGTAAATTTTAGGATGCTTTTCCTCCTAATAAAATCCAAGAAGCAATAGTGTTTTGCCAAGAAGAAATCTTGAATTACCTCAGTGATAATCTATTGGTCCAAACTGCTCAAACTTTAAGCAATCTAAAAAATGTTTCTGCAGAAGAAGCAGAAGCAAAATATGAAAGAGTTTTAATATCTTGCCTTCAGGGTTATTGTTTATACTTAGAAAAGGTGTCTATCGAACAAATAAAGAATGCCAGTGTATTAAACAATAGCATTGTATCCAGTAGTAAGTAGCTGAAGTAAAGTAATTTACTATAATGATGTTAATTATTATTTGGTTTAAGCTAAATTTTGGAAATTTTCCAAAAGCAAAGTAGCCCATGTTAGAGCCTCGTTTTTCAAAATAGTGTCAGTCTTGTGCCAAAAAGCAGCCTTCCTTCTAGATGACAAAGGGTCACATGTAGTTGGTAGTGTCTTTGGGAGTTTGGAGGAACATGATCCTACTGTACTACCACGAGTTTGGGATGCAACTCTTTTAACTATGTCTACCATAAAGGTACAGTATGCAGCAAGAATTTATAATTTGAGACAGTATGCAAGACACCCTTTTTGGACTAGTATTATTCCCTGTTGTTCTTAGGTGAATTTTGAAGTGATAGCGTTTCTCTGTCTCTTGTTTTGGTGGCATTCCTAAATGTCACTTTAAGGAAAACTTCTTTCTTTATTGTGGTGTTTATGTTTGCTCCTAAACAAGTGCAAAGTTTAGTGGTTTCTACTCACAATTTAGATTTAAATTTAACATCATTTTATAGCTAAAAAAATTTGCTCATGTAATTTGAGTGTTCTTGTGAAAAATTTTGTGTTTTTTAAACTAAGTTCTCTGCATTTGAATGCAAGAACGTGGAGTGAAGAATAAAAAAAAAAACAAACAAAAAATTGCTGATAAGTAACAATTCAAACAACTAATCCAGTGGTGTACTGACTTTTGGTATGTTATTTTCTTCAACTATGGCCTAAAATTAGAATGGAGTGTAATTTGTGTAAGCAAATTAAGCAACCTAGCAAGAAATGCAAAAATCCATGTGATTCCTGCAGGAATCTAATTTGTTTAGATTGTACAAATCTGTCAGCCTCAGAAATAAGGTGCTTTCCTATTGTAGGACGACCATTAAAATTTTTGTGTATCAAATGTTGAAGTTATGATTTAGTTGATATTCTAAATAACCATATCAAAGATAAGGACCAAATAATAAAGGACAAAGAAGATATCATCAAACTATTGAAGGCTAAAATTAATGATTATGAAAAATCCCCTATTCAACAACCCTCTTCTTTTGCCCAAGTAACAAAGGGTTCTATGCAAACACATCAAATAAACTATCCACAAATTATAATTAAACCAAGAGTACCTCAAAATTACCAAAAAACCAAGGATGATGTTGAAAAAAATATTAAACCTGAAGCATTGAAAGTTGGAGTTAAGAGTATGAAAACTCTTAATTCAGGTGCATTAATTATTAAATGTTGTAATAAACAAGGAATGAATGTCTTAGAAGAAAGTGTCAAAAATAAGCTGAGTCATAACTATGATGTGGAACTTAATAAGATGAGGAAACCGAAAATAAAAATAGCTAATTTTAACCAGGATAAGAGCAACGAGGACATCAAGAAATGCATTATAAATCAAAATAACCTAGATAAGGAAATAGAAGTTGTATTTATAAAAAAAACTGCGCACTGGAAACAAAATGATTATTTGTGAATGTAGTCTAAACATTTTTAACCAAATAATGCAAGAAGGTAAAGTTAATATTGGTTGGGAAAGATACACAGTGCATGAGAACCTTGGCATACCAAGATGCTATTAGTGTCAAGGATATTACCAAAATTATACAAAAAAAATTGTATGTTCTCTTTGTGCTGAATGTCCTAAAACTAAAGTGTGTTGTACTAATTGTAAGAATTCAAATATTAATTTTAAATCCAACTATCCAACTGATCACTATGCCACTGATTCAGAGGGTAATACTCTGAAATATTTCAAACAGGTTCCTAAAACTAAAACAACCTATTGTGAAAATTAATTTCTTACTTTGCTTTCTTTTTTGTTTTAATTTAATCTCAACATTATAATAGTTTTTACTAATTTACTACAATTTAAATAATCTTTCTCTCTTTTATGGATATAGCAGAACTAAATATTTTTAATGAGATTGAAAATGAAGAAAATGAGATTGAATTAAATAAAAATTCTCCTTAAGACTTAAACAATTTTTTAAATATTATCAGTTGCAATAATTATTTTAATTTTGCATTTAAATATTAGAAGTATAAAAAAAATTTCTTAAATAATATACCAAGAAGGCTAAGAATGGATATATTTATTGGTGACATTAATATTAATATCCTTGATCCCTCAAACCAAATAACAAATAGATATTTGGCAATGTTATCTTCCTTGGGATTTGTATCATATATTAATTCATACACCAGGGTTACTGTAGAAATGAAATCATGTGTTGATCATATTTTTATAAAAAATAATATGCCAAATAAAAATTTCTCATTTAAATTGTCGGTAATTGACACTGATCTAACTGATCATTTTCCAATTTTTTTCAATATTACAACAAACGAAAGAAACTTTAACCATAATACATTAAACCAACATACAACACAATACACGAATATAGATTTACAAAATTATTAGAAAATGTAAACTGGGACAATGTCATTTCATAAGCTGTACTCAAATATACAGGGTGTTGTTTAAAATTTTGACCTGGAGGTGAGGTAGTGTGGTAACTGGCTTTGGAGACGATCCTGCAGGTATTAGAATATCAGTTCTACTTTGCCAGATAGTTATTTTCTCTGGTAAACTTTATAGAAAAAAAATTGAATTAATTATTGTATTAATTTGATAAAAATGGCACTACGGTCTCGTTTTTGCAATATCTTACTTTATTGCTAAATTAAAGATGATTTTTTTTATATATGAATATTGAACTAAATAGCACAATCCTCTACAATCCCATAAATATACGGGCTAATTTCATTAAAAAAAAAATGTTGAAAAATATACCCGAAAACTTGGAATTACTACTTTTGAGTCACTATTTTCTTGTTTTTTAGGACTGGTGGACTTTCATCAATATTGACAAATTATTTTTACCAAAACTATGGAAAATTTTAAAACAAGGTGGCCAAGGAAATGCATCAGTTATTTACCCCAGCCTGTTACCATTGATTTCTTATTTGCCACCTAATATTGATGAAACAGTGCCACAATTTTACAATCTATTTTTTGAAAATCTGTGGTTAGGGTAAGCAAAATTCAAAATGTATACATTTATTTTTTATTGAAAACGACTATAGAGGGTGTTTAATTAATAATTGACTTTAGAATAACTCTACAATCTTTGAACTAAATGAAGATTTAATGTAAATTATTTAGAAAAAATGTGCTTCATTTTAAAATTTAATTTGTCTATTATTTTGACACTGTTTAATATTTTTTTTTGTAAAATTTAAAGGTTAAGTACTTTATAACATTGAATTGTGAAATAAAAGAAAGTTTCTAACCACTACCAGGGTAAAATGAGTAAGAATTAACCATTTTATAATTTATTTTTATTTACTTCAATAGATTTTTGAAGTAACTCAGTAAGCAAAAACATGTTATTTTACATTAAATCTTCATATTTAGGTCCATTATTACTACACTATATAAATAATTTATTCATCTATAACGTATTACATTTCAATAACCAATAAAAGTAAGTCAAGAACTTAAAAATATATTGGTAAGTGGACGTCACTAAATTTATCAAATTTCTGATTTTTTCGGTAAAATTGTGAGAATTGTCAACCAAGCTAACAAAAATTTGAAGAAAATCACATAATAATAATCATTTTTTCATTATTGACGCATAAGTTATTAAAATGTGATATTTTATAAATGGATTTTATATTATTAATTTATTTCAGATTAAATCAAAAATCAACTGTATCCAGTCGTTCCGAATCCGTAGCCGTAGCCACAGCCTTTATAGAGTGCCTTCAATATGTCATATTACAAAAGCAATCCGATCTTCCTTTCTCTAAATCCCTTATAAAAAATAACCTTATAACATCGATCGAATGGTGTCTCACTGAAAATCAGACAAACTACAAATCCCTCTTCAACCAAATTTCATCCTTGGTTCAACATTGGAGTCGAAATTTGGAATCTGAAGCGTTAAAATCTTGTTTGGACTTCTTTTTAGAGAACATCAATGATTTATTTAGAGATACTTTGTTTAATATTAAAGAAACCCCCTGTTATGATGTTGGAAAAATTGCTGAGAAGCAATTGGATTTTTTGCAATCATTGAAATGTATCAGCAAGTCTAAAAAACATTTCAAGGTTTGATTTATTTCAATTCAAAGTTGAATGATTTGTTTACTTCTGTAATTTTTTCAGGTAAAATTTAATATGGAATCGGATGGTAGTCATGATCACAAACCAGAACAAACTGTTAATATTTCTGAGGACAAAATCTATCTAAATCGTTTGAATAGCCTTGTGTACAACATATGTGAACATTATGTTCAGTATATATCAGAAAAAAAATCAAATCTTCTAATAGACCATCTTTATTCACTTGTAATTGATTTTGATACGAAGAGTTTCTTTTCAAATTTGAATAAAAAAATGAAACTTACGAATCCCAATGCGCGATTGGTCGATATTTATTTTAAGGTACTGCAGCCCTGGCTCACTTCACAAGAATTGTGTTGTAAACACGTTATTAGCTTGATATTTTTACTATTTGAATATTTAGAGATTGAAGATAAAAAGACGATATTAACTACATTTTCAGAGGTAAGCACAACAATATCCAATAAAATTTTAACGTACATACAATCAATCCTAAATCTCTTTCAGGTACCATCTGAAGAATGTTTGAGCTGGTGTATTTCAGAGGCGTTATCGCATCCACACAATAAAGATACATTGGTTAAGGAATGGCTGAGAACTGACAGAATTAGCAAATTTATTGTTACCATTACTGACAAAATTATTTTAGATAAGTGCCCTCCAGAACTGGGAACATTATTCAAATTGGCCCTCACTGAAAATGAACATGGTGGTAATTAAAATTTATTTTAATATTAATAACCACGTTATTTTTGTGTTTTCAGAATTAGTGACCATACGTATAGCATTTCAGTGTATTGGACAGCATTTTCAAAGTCTGTCCAGCATTAGATCTTGTACATAAAACATACAGCATAAAGCTATATTCAATGTAATACATACATAATTTACTGAAACGTAACAAATAAGAGAAAAACTTAATGCATAGCTAATTTTGCCAAATTTAATAATATTATGAACTTCTCCTTACATAAAATATTGAAATAGTAAAATAAATAAATAAAATTTTATATTAAATAAATTATAAAGTAGGTATATACATTTTAAACCAACAATTATAGAGAGTAGCTATTGTAGAAAAGGGTGGTTTGTTTGACGGAAGAGTGACTTTTCAGAGGTTGGCAACACTTTTGCCGGTGATTATATTAGTAGTTTCCGCCATGTTTCTGATGTCATCTGTCTGGGCAGTAAATAATTTACATAATCTACTGCACAGGATCCTGGTATCAGTAACTGGTTTCTGATCGTTGTCGAAGCAGTCCTATATGCTCTATATACTAAATTGTTATTGTACCTATGCCTTACCTGTCAAGACAGCTACAAGTCTTTTACTTTATGAAATTCGATCCTCCTTCGTAAATTTAAAAAACGGAATGTATAATTTAACGAGTTATGCACTCAGAATGCGATTTTTTATGGCACTCATATTTGAAATAATAATATAGAAATATTTTATTCTTAGTAATACATATATAAACATGTTTACATAGTCGTCAGTACACATAAATGGTAAAATACACCACATTTTACATACATTAACATACAGCATACTCCTGTAAATATTAAAATAAAATAGGATTTTAAAAGATCATGGTTGGTAATAGTAATAAAAAAATATATAAAAAAATACAATATTAAAAATATTAGGTGACATGTTTCACTTTTACAAAATAATTGTTAGTGTTATATATAGACACATGTCCAATAATATCTTTTTAATTTGATGTTTAAACTTTTTTCCTGGTAGATTACGGATGTGGGGCGGAAGTGCATTATAGAATAAAATGCCTATTGTTTGGGACTTGTTTATTCTAGTTCTCGTTTGGATTAGCTGATTTTTCCCTCTGGTATCGTATGTATGATTGTCTGAGTGACATGTGAAGTTTCCAAAATTATTTTTTATGGCTAGCAAGTTTTCAAATACTATTTGCGAAAACAGGGTCATTATGCTAAGTTGCTTAAATAGTGGTCGGCATGGTCCATAATAATTTACCCGCAGAATAGAGCGAATTGCTGATTTTTGCAAGATAAAAAGTCTTTGTAGTGAAGTGAAGCTAGCATTTCTCCAAGTTAGAATCCCATATGTTAAATTGGAATGGAATTAAAGCTTAATTTATAACCGCCGTAACGTAACTTAAGAACTTAACGTAAGAAGTTGAAATATTGAATTTACGTATACTTATTTATAATGTTCGTAACGTAACTTAAGAACTTAACGTACCGTAGAAAGTTCACCAACTTTTAACTTAACAACATAACTTAACTTAAGACCTTACGGTTAGCCAATGAGATAATTCTGCGTTCAGCATGTGATAACTGTCAATTATTCTTTTTATTTTTTTTTTATAAATAAATAGAAAAATACCATTTGTAAACTATCATTCTCCTTTTTGATGGACATACATTATCATGAATGATTTGTGTTTATGTTATTGGGGATAAACTATCTATGAGATATGAGTGTAGCTGCATATACCTATAAACATCAAGTCTAGAACTGAAATAAGACAAAACTTTTTTGCTAGGAAAGATTAAATTCTCATTATTGCTCAAAAACAATCAACATCTTCGGTAAACTATTTTGTTTTATTATATTTTTATATTATTGCTTTTAAAGTAGTTAATATATTCTTTCTATATAGCAAAATCATAATTTATAAGTTTTATTTAGAGGTTAAGTACATAGTTTACACTTGTTTATTTCATAAGGTTGTCAATAATTTGATAATCTCTGAAATCAACACGCATGCTCTACTCTTACGTTACGGACATTTATAAATAGACTTTATTTTTATATCTTAGGTTAAGTTTCTACGGCGTTAAGTTAAGTTACGTTACGGTGGTTATAAATTATACTTGAGTCGTAATAAGTAGTTATTGCTGCTTCTCTATTAACTTTATTTGATATTCTACGTGAATTTTGCCAACTTGTTGCATAAGTTATTTATTTGATAGTTCCATGTAAGTTCCTAAGTTGTGTGTCAAAGTATATACCGAGAAATTTAGTGTTCATTGCTTCACTAGTAGTTTGGTTCAACCTGAAGACACATGTTTCAGTTTTATTGTGATTTAAAAATAATTCGTTGCTATCAAACCATTGTTTAGCTTCAGTCATAATCTTAGAGTTTTTGATAACTATGTCAGATGTGTTATTGCAGTGATATGAGAAATTGGTATCATCTGCATACATGGTAGTTAGGAATTCGGCATTATTTGAATTTATGTATGATGGAAGATCATTGGTATATATTAAAAATAATAGAGGGCCTAGTACGGATTCTTGTGGAACATCTCTTTTCATTATTAAAGGTTTACTAAGTTTATTTCTGTAATATACACTTTGTTGTCTGTTTTGCAAATAAGAAGCAATCATCTTATTTGCAATGCCTCTAATGCCATATTTATCTAGTTTGTTGACTAACAATGTGTGACTTACACAGTCAAATTCTTTTTCATAAACGCCCCAGTTATTTCACAGTGGATTTCTTTTGACATATTCTTAATTTCTGGAATCTCAGCGCTTTTTAAAGTGTTGTGACTATATATACTTACCCCACCATGGATATGTGTTTCTATACAAAAAGTAGTTACAATATTAAAATTTGTAAGATTGAAACATGTCGCCTGGTTAGAAAACAGCCAATGTTCTGAAATGCAAACAATTTTTACGTTTGTCATGTTATTAACTAGGTTGTCTAATTGAAGTATTTTGTTTCCAATACATTGTACGTTTTGATGGAGAATGGAAATTTGTTTCGTCGGTATTGGTAACTTCTAAATTTTAATTCAGTTGTTTCTTGTCTTTTGAAACATCTACAATGTATTACTGTTCTATTCACTGTGCATATTACCTGTACTTGCAAATCATCATTGCCTTATCAAATGTAAAAATTGCTGTATTTATTTTAGAACTGTTCATCGATAAAGAAGCCATACTGAAAATTATTTCAAAATTAATTTCAACAATGCAAAACCATACAAACTATTTGGTGACAGCCGACACCTGTACGAGCTTATCTGCATACATCTCGGCGATAATTTACACTGAAAATTTACTGCTTACATACAGCGACACACTTTTACTAGCTTTGTTCAGGCTAACGTGCAATCCTGAAATCGACAATGAAATTATTTCAAAAGAAACCGTTTATGAAGTAACGACGTCATGGCAAGACGCAATTACTTTACTTAGCAAAAGCTTAAGTAAGGAAGAAAGTTTACGCCTGGCCGCTAAATTGGCGGATATAGTTGAAGAGGAGTATTTAAATAGTAATTTGGATGAAGCCAATGTCAATCATTTTATTCTTGTGATTGTTAATGCAATAACCGCATTTTACAAGAGCCTCCCATTGAATTTGACGGAGTTTTTGGAAGTTTTTGTTAAGAGAAATTTCGTTAATTCTTTAAAAATGTAAGTTTAAAAAAAAAATGAATTTCGGAATATAAATATTTGTCTTTTGTTAGATATATGGAAGAACTATGTGTCTTAGCTGAATATATTAGTGGTAACTTATGTTGTCCTTATAAAGAAATCAAAACTATCAAAATTACTGCTGAAAAAATTGATGTCGCTAGATATTTTGCTTGGATTTATCTAAAAATAGGAATTATTAGTTCAGCTCTTAAAGATATAATATCAGATGATGACGAGGAAGATGATGATGATGAAGACGATAGTGATAAAATAACCGATAGTGAAAAAGACAAACCTGTTCTCATTTTATTTGTTATTGACCAGGCTGAAGTATACGTAACCCAAATTTTACATGATATATGTATTGGTCAGACATATTTAGAAACCTATAATAATGTAAGTACGTTATGTGTTTTTCTTTTAATTTATTAAAACATTTTTATTTTTTAGACCATGTACTACGATTCTGTATTACACTATCATGTATTAACAGAAATGAAACTAAAAGCAGCTTTAAAACCGTCCTGCGAACTTCTAAAAGCGAGCATTAAGTCTACTTTGAAAGAAAAATCTGCCAAATATGGTTGGCATTGGGCCAAAGCGGTGTACCTTTTTTACTCAGAAATCCTACATGAAAATTTACAATCCATTTACGAAGAATTCATTCGGGATATCTCTGAAGGTGATTCTGTAAATACTTTACACTTGACGCAAGTTTTTAAGGATCATTTGAACTACGATTATGTACAAAATAAATTTGATGCCATAGGAGATGTTGTAGTATTGAATGGGTTAATTAATTGTGATGAAATTGATGTACAAATTGCTGAAGTTTTCTCCAAAATAGAGAAAATTAGGAGCAAGGATGTGCCACAATTTTTATACAACTCGTAAGTAATAATTAGTCAGTTTTGTTTATTAAAATCATGACATACTTTGTGTGATGTAATGAGTGCCAACATTTGAGGTTAATTTTTACTTTTGCCGCTATTAGGCATTCCAAATAAAATGGCTGTCGGTGGAAAGGGTTGGTATAACTAAGGGGTTGAGAAATACGATGTATTCTATCTACAACACGTGAAATCATGAATAATGGATTAAATTTAAATATTGTATGTCGAACACAATGAAAATATAAAAAAGCGCTTATACATTTTTCATAAATTGGCAGGCTTGGTGACTACTATTTCGAATAAAAATAGCGTCCAAGATGGAAGGCTATGTTGTAATCCCCTTAGATATACGAACCCTTCCCACTGGCAGTTATTGTTTGATAGGTTGTTGGAATGTCTAATTATATTTTTGATTAATGAACGGAAGTAAAATATTTTTGATAAATGACAAGAGACCCATTGGGTTATTAACAATATTATTGTCTAACTCATTACTTTCCTGTAAAGTTATTAAAAATATTGAGTACGACGGCCCATATAAAAGTATTTATAATATGAATTAATGATGTAAGGGGTTTTCTCGCCTCAGAGAAAACGGTTCCTTACGAATGGCGCTGGTTACGGACGGTTCTCGAGCGCCAGATTTTTAGTTATGGTTTACTCCACAAACTCGAAACGGCGTCGAAAGTACTCGGGCAGCACAGATGGAGATGAAAAATTCCAGGGGTCAAAGGTCACTTAGACTCAGGTAATTAGTAGCCACAAGTAATGGGCTTTAATCATTACTTGTGGTTGTAAAGAATTTCTCACTGCTAAAAAGTAAGGGGGAAGTAAATTGGGGATTAGTAAGCTCAGTAATAGTCAAGGTAATGTTGACACATATATTGGTTTAACTATTTACAGTTAAAAAAATAAAAATAATATATTTCAACGCCTACCCTCGGTTATGAAACCCTGAACAAAAAAAATAAAGCAAAACAAAACGGGAACGAACGGCTGATATAGTTGACAGGTGTTCTCAATTAGACTGCTTAAACTGTATAGGGTGTCGCGTATAAAAAAAATTGTATTCGGAAATCTCAGACTAAAGTCAAAATTTAAATCTCGGATAGTAGGAATTTTAAATTTACGGCAATTACTCTCAAATCGCAACACAAAAAAAATCTAAATGTAAATCATGGATAATACGGATTCAACAATTTAAATTTACGGCAATTGCTTGAATCGCAAAGCAAATCAAAATTTTGATCAAGGATAGTATTAATTTTAAAAATTCCAAAATTTACGGTAATTTTCTTAAATCACAAAGAAAAATCAAAATTTAAATCAAGGATAGTATGAATTTTAAAAATTCCAAATTTACGGTAATTTTCTTAAATCACAAAGAAAAATCAAAATTTACATCAAGGATAGTATGAATTTTAAAAATTTAAACTGCGGCACTTCTGCAACTCGTGAGGACCACTTGAAATCTTTCTAAATGTTTGTTTCTTTTTTTTTAAACCCCTGAAGATAACGAGCAAGCTACGCTGAATCAACCCCACACTACCTCTTATTGTTATTTATTATTATAACCCCAGGTCGGACAGGGATATCTAGGAAGGAAAATAACACAGGGAACTTTAAGCCCTCACTGAGTTATTTGGGAATATTCAGGAAGGAAAGCTAACACAGGGAACTTTAAGCCCTCACTGAGTTAATTGCGGATAGCTAGGAACGAAAATAGCACAGGGAACTTTAAGCCCTCACTGAGTTATTTGGGAATAGACAGGAAGGAAAACTAACACAGGGAACTTTAAGCCCTCACTGAGTTAATTGCGGATAGCTAGGAAGGAAAATAACACAGGGAACTTTAAGCCCTCACTGAGTTATTTGGGAATAGCCAGGACGGAAGAATAAAGGAACGGAGATTTTATATTCAAAGCAAGACATGATACCCTCCCCTTCGGTAGAACAAAATCCCGGACAGTGAAACTAAACCAATAAAAAAAAATGAACAATATTCAGTTTTCGTATTTCCCACGGTATCTATTTTTTAAAAGTCATCTAAATTTAAAAAAAAAAACGAAAAGAAAATAAACACTCTAATTCCTATCTTTTCCCAATTTACTTATTTAATAATTCTATTTACAAAGTCGATTTATATCTGAAGCAGTCCTCACCGTTCGAAGACGATAATAAAAAAAAATAAACACGGCCAATATCCAAACAAAATTATTTACTTGTTAAAATGTAAATCTCAAACCGTGTTTAAATCTACCTAATTTAATTCGGTTTTTATTTCCTATCTAAACTCGATGCTACGGCAAAAAATAAAAACGGGTTTTTTTGTATTAACTGCGGTAAACAAACGGTTTTAGCTCGCGGCGCTAGTATTACACTTATCGACTGATTCTTTCGATCGCCCGGAATGGAAATTGAAAATTTCTCTCTCACTGTTCTTGATCTGGACTCGAAAAATATTTACCAATGGCCCGCGCACGATCAACTTAAGAGGGAGAAGGTACTCGAGAAGGGGTACGGTGCTGGCTGCTGGCGTTCGTTCTCGTTTAACGTATTTTAAATGATAAATTCCCAAATCTACAATTTTCTATAATATAAATTCAAAACCCTGGTTTAAAATGACTTTTGAAAACCATTGCTATATTGTGAAAGTACTATGTATTTTCGGATTATTATATATTTCAAAATAATAGATACAGGGTGAAGCCAAAAAGTTGATTTATAAATTAAAATAGTAACGAATAATTAATTTTATTAAATTGATATGCCGGATTCTAATGAAAGTTAGATTTAAAATCATTGTTAAGAATACTAATTCGGCAATTGAATAAGAAAAATAGTAATGAAAAATGACTTCATTACAATGATAAAAATTATTCAAACTGACGAAAATACTGAAAAATTCAACTGTTGCACTTTTCTTCAAATATCTCCATTACGATCTATTTTAGAAAAATAACAAACAATTCTTGTCAATCGAATTTTCTTTTATAATCATAATTAACATAAATAATAATAATAATAATAATAATAATAAAAGCACTTTATTGGTTATGAATATTACAACCAAATGACCATCGACCTAGGTCCTTCAGTCAGTACAATTTGTATGGTATTTATTTATTTATTTATTTCACAACCCAAACAGGCTTTTAGCCTTATTACATGGATATTATTGCTAAGACTGTTACAATAATTAAATTAATATTATTACACGACAAATAGCTAAACTATAATATAATATGAACGGCGTAGTTGACAAATTCTACACCAAGTTCCGTGAAATAATGATCAACCCAATGTTGATTGTTAATAATTATTATAGTTTAAATCCCATAATTTTTAAAATAATTTAATACAACTTTCCAATACTGATTAAATGACATATTCCAATCTATAGTATGCATAACATTAACATTATTAGCTAAGGAGAGAATAGAGTAAAGTGGAGAGCAGCGCATCAATATTTTTAAGTTAAACAAAAGAGTGGAGCGCGTGCGTTTTGGAGGAACATTGAAAGGTATAAATGCTAATAAATTATTTGATGTATTTTGATTTACATGTATGTGGATTTACAAGGTATATGTGTAAAATGAATATGAATATTAAGATACTTAAAAAAACAACAACAATATGTGTCACTAATTATTGTTCATCAGCAAATTCGTTTAAAATTTCTGTTATTGATCTCACTGGGTATTTAAACTTTGCTTGACCAATTTGTCGTTGCATCGAAAAAATGTTTATTAGCATGTGATTGTTTCGTTTCTTCGAGAATTTTTTTGACAGTTTTCTAATTCTTTCCAGGATAGGCTGAATCTTAGTTTTTTCGTAAAGATATTCATTCGCTGGATGGTGAGTGGGGTTTTCAGGATGTCGCATCTTGGTAATGATTCTTAGTGTAGAAGTTTCGGCCACTTGAATGTTTTTTAATGCAGGTTTTCGGCAGTTTAAATATATAGTGTGCCCGTATTCCAGGAGAGGTCTGCAAATTGTTTTGTAGATTTTAGTGACCGTGTAGATGTTGATACCTTCTTTTTTGTATGTCAAAGAGCGAAAATGTTCGGCTCTGGTTTTGATTTTGTTTTTTTGTCTGCGGGTTTGTTCATTGAAGTTCACCTTTTTATCAATAATAAGGCCTAGATATTTCACTGGGGATACGGGATAGATTGGTTCGTTAGATATGATGAGTGTAGGTGATTTCGGACTTAGATCATGATAGGGTATCATTAATTGACATTTTTGTGGGTTAACTTGTAATCTCCATTTATTGAGCCTTTGAGCAATTTCGTTATATTGATTTTGTAGTGCTGTGATGGTTTGATTCAGCGTATTTCCATGCGATATCAAGGCCGTGTCATCTGCGTATTGGAGTGTGTAATTTACTGCATTGAGGTGTAACTGACCTGAAGGAAAATTAAAGCAATATATGTTGTAAAGGAGCGGAGATAGTGGCGACCCTTGCGGTACACTTTGATTTGCTATGAAACTTGGAGATGTGTGGTTATTTATTTTAACTCTTAGAGTTCTGTTTTGAAGGAAGTTTTTGATAAGAATTATCAGGCACATTAAGAAGTTTTAGTTTAAATAGGAGGCCGTTGTACCAGACACAGTCAAAGACTTTTTTAATGTCCAACAGGAGAGTGGCAGATTTTTTATTGTTCAATTTTGTTTGCACATTGAAAACCAACAGAGTGGTTGGTACCAGAGCGGAGATTTGTTCTCTAAACCCAAATTGGAATTGCGGAATTCGTTCTTTACTAATGCTGATAGTTTGACTTTAATAAGTTTTTCGAATAGTTTTCCCAAAACTGGAAGAAGAGTGATTGGTCTGTAATTATCAATTCTTTTGTGGTCTGTGCCTGGTTTTGGCATAACTGTGATGGTGCCTTTTTTCCATTGATCTGGAAAGTACGAGTTTTTGTAACAGAATACAAACATTTTTATAATATAGATATGTATATTATATTCTAGTTTTTTCACAATTTGCCATGGGATCATGTCCGATCCTGGAGCGGAGTTTTTCTGATTGGATAGTATTTGAAAATATTTTTCCACCTCGAATTCTGTTTTATCTTCCTCATTGATTGGGTTGTTTCTAAAATATTGTTTGCAACATGAGTTTACATTATTCCAGTTTTCTTGTTCAAAAAATGGGTCTTTCGTTCCGTTATGTTTTAATGAAGTTCTCCTTGAATGCATCGGCCTTTTCTTCATCTGTGGCATAGTCTATACCATTGTCTGTGATATTGGGAATTTTATTTTGACAGTTTATTTATTTTATGATAGAAGTTTCTTCCCTGTTCTCGATTGATTTCTTGGCAGGTCTGTAGCTATGTGTGTTGCTGAAATTGTTTTACTAATTTTTGAATGTGTTTGTTAAGTTGTTGATGTTTGTTTTGACTTCCCGACTAGGGTTTTGCCTGTATTCTCTAAGCATTTTACGTTTTGTTTTGATGAGTTTCACGATGTATCTAGGAAGTTCATAAGTAAAATATTTGTTTACAATTTTTGGTGTGTTGTTTGTGATAATCTCGGAGTCCTTTGTGTGAAAGTTATTGACTGCATTGGTAGTAATATTAGTGTTGTTTGAAATTAGTTGGTTTACTTCTTTATTTATTTTTTCAATTTTTGATTTATTGAAATGATATTTAAGAGATGGGTCTCCAAAAGGAGAGGACATTCCTTGCTCGATAGTAAACATTATAGAATGGTGGTCTGCCCCAATGTCGGAGATTACTTCTAAATTCTTTATTTATTTATTTTATTTATTTATTTATCATACGGTTTAAACCATTTACAAAATACATAAGTTTATAGTATAAAAATATACATAAATATTAAAATACTATGTAGACCTAACACATTTTTTTACTTCGCCTCTCTTTCACTTGATACAGGGAAGAGTTAAAAATATCAATATTCTGGTTTGCTGCAAATGTATTAGCATTTCTCTTGTCTGGCCATACCAATTCCTGAGCCATAGTTAGTTCTATGAGCTTTCAAAGCAAATGTGGAGCTATCACGCAACGGCCTAGGTGGGATATAAAAATCTACACTTTGCAAGAGTTCAGGAGAATCAACAAGGTTATTTACAAGTTTAAAGATAAACAGAAAATCAATAAATTCTCTTCGGGAAGCTAACGTTTCAAAATTGATTGCGTTGCTAAGATTGTCAGTGTACATTAACAAATCTGGGGTGGAGTCCTCATTGTTGGGCATCAAAAAAGTAGGGGGAGTATCCGCTTTAATAAAGTTTGTGTTATGCATAAAGTTTGAATCTGTTTTAATTTGCCTGGAGAGCGGTGGTTGAAGTCACCGATTAGCACAACATATTTGAATCTGCCTGCCATTCTGAAGATAGAATCGTCGGTTGAAGCATGTGGGTGGCTGTATATCAAAATAATGTGAAGTTCGTCATCATTGAAAGGGATACTGACGTGTAGAGCATCATTTTGGGGACCTTTTATGCGGGGCGGGTTTTGTTTTCGCATTTTTAGCTTTGGATTTATTTGTATAAGTGATCCTCCTCTTATATTTTGGTTTAGAATATTTCCGTCGTGTCTTACTACATCCCAATTTCTATAGTTGGTGCTGGTTTCCGAATTGGTTTTAGTTTCTACAAAGAGGGCACAGTTTTTCTATCGTATGGTTCACTAAATATTTCTTTTGAAAGTAACTGTTTATATTAGTGTATAATATTTTAATTTCGTTGTTGAATGTGAGCTACTTGCGATCCTGGTATAGTTTCAGTGGGAGATTTAAATACCTTAAATTAGAAAAAAACACCCTCTATAAAGTACCCCCATATGTTCTGACCCAAAATCAAATCAGGTATTTCTCTAGACATCCGTGATGAATTATCGTGTATACAGATACATCACGAAAATGGTCAAAACGAACCCCAAAACGTTAAGATCCTTCGAAAACTCGAGGTCGAAAAAAATCATGATTCCTATATACTTTCCTTACCTGAATACAGGAAAATAAAAATGATAAAAATATTTGAACAATCAAAGTAAATTAGTCTTGTATTACGAATTTAAAAATTAACCTCAATTTTGATGCTCTACATTTTTTTTGTCATCTATTACTAAGAGAGAAAAAAATTATTTTAGAAGTGATATCGGTTGGCAGGAATGTGAAGAAATTAGAGAAGTTATTCTATTAAGTTCCTCTTTGATGAAATCAAAATTCCAATGTCTCAGTCAGAAACATTGGGATTTCGCTGTATTATCTTTGGTTTCTTGGGCATCAAACTGTTTGAAAGCAAAAGCCAGATATGAAACATACCAAGTAAGTATTAAATGCTTCTATAAAATAAAGAATATTTTTGTATATAAATGTAGGTAGCAGTACTAAGGAATTGGGAAATGTCCTGCCATCTGCCGTTCTGATCTGGCCCATAGCATTTTTGTCTTGTATCATAGATTTTTTAAAATACTCTCATTAGCTTGGCGTCAACCAAGTACTATTTTCTATTATGCTGATCTACAAACCTCAGTTTTTGAAAAATTATCTTTTTTAAATAAAGAAGTTTTTTTTTCAATGCAAGTAAATGGAAAAGTAGAATGCTGAACCAAATATAGTATCCTAAATTTTGAAAACAATAAAATGACTTCACTTACTTGTAAAAATCTATTCGTTACCGTTGCGAAAGTATGAAAAAAAAAGAAGAAAAAACAAACTGCATTTTTACTTTTAAAATAATATGTAATTTAGCAGCACCAGAACAAAAAGTATAGTATGCACACCACACAATTGCCGCTGATTTTTCAAACGTGGAGTAATAATCCGTTTTGTTTTTCTTAATTGAAACCAAAGACTGCGCTTTGCAGAACACCTCAAGTTTTAATTTGCTATTACATGGAAAAAAAGAGCAATTTGACGTTCCGAGTTAGTTTTATCGTATAGAGGACTATTGAAAATATAATATTTCATGGCTAACTCAATTCAGAGTCATATTTGAACAAAGACTGACTTGGAATCAACATGTTAAAAAACACGCATACAATGCTTTTGTAAGCTGTAGAATAATATGTGGGGAAAATGACCATATGGTTACAGGCACAGGCAAATAGGCCAACTCACCAGCATTCAGAGGCTCACCTGTCTAAGTGCCACTGGAGCCATGCATACTACATCAACTGTAGCAATGGAATCTTTGAATCCAAGTCGAAAACGACGATTTCACGGAGTCTAGGAGAATATCCAACAGTGTTCCAGACTCAACTAATAGCCATACTAGAGAAATAATAAATCGGCAAGCATCATGCAAAACTATTGACATCTACTCTAATAGCTAAGCAGCTTTAAAGGCAATAATCTCGCCAGAAATCAAATCACGATTGGTGAAAGACTGCCTAGGCCTGGCAGAGCTAATTAGTCAAAACAAGGTGATCCTAGCCTGGGTGCCAGGCCACGAGAGCAACAAAAAGGTCATGATATGTTCTGAACCCTTTTGTGTAGTTGCTAAGGCATCCATTAAACAATGGATGCAAAAAGTCTCAGGAATGGTGAAAAAACTTTCTAGGTTTGAGACAGGCCAAACAATTCATCAAGGAACCATCGTTCAAGTTCACGAAAGACCTACTGGATCAGAGACATCAAATTGTTAGGATAACCTAAGTCTAATAAAAAAAGACGAGGCTAGACGACACACTTTAAATAACGGAGTTCCACAATAGATTTGAAAAGGTCGCAGTGGAAAAGAACAGATAATGTCCAACTTCTTTCAAATCTAATCAATTTTGTCAATTTTTCAAAAACTGTGCTTTGATGATCATCTCCTCATGTGTACCACCCAAAATACATTGGTTTAGGACAGTGGTTCCCAACGGGGGCGGTACTGTCCACCGGTATGTGATGAAGAGAACTAAGGGGCCATTTTTGATCCAAGCAAATTTGGGGGATCATCAAAAGTACTCGATGGAAAGTTTTTTCGAAATGTAGGAAATGTAATGTATAATTCAATGAATGAATTTTTTTTTGTAGTTCCAAGCATTCTTATGTGCAGTTGTGAAATTATATGTAAATACAGATACTCAAATTAGACTTTTAAAAGAGAAAGGTGTGTCCAATAATTACATTGACGAATGGGAAGATGTAATAGTTGAAAGTATCCATAACGATTTATTGCAGTTGTGGTTATATTTGGCAGGTGAGCTGAATTATTTTGTTACTAAATTTTTCAAAATCCAATAATTTATCAATGTTTTCTTATTTTCCTAGATCAACTTAGACAAAAACAGGAAATCATAACGTACTTGCCATTGATTCAAGAATTTTCAAAAATACTCTCCAGTATAAGCTGTGATCGAATTTTTAAAGCGAGCGACCCGTTACCAAAGTGGTCGAAATATTTAAAACAAAGCTGTTCGCTCTTGGTTAATCCACAACCGAGTCTACAGCTGTGGGGTTACAAAATGTTGCTAATACTCGTGCCTGGACTGATAAACATTGATACTGAAGCTGTTAATACTAATACTCCTCATAAAATGGGACTGATTTTCGAGCAGTTTAAAGAAAAGCTTGTGGAAACGCATGACATTGTCAATAGTATGCTTATGGGATTTAAGTATGTATGAAAATTGTACAGGGTGTTAGTATATTTGACCAACAATGTTCTGCCACAGAAAACTCTTGTTATTTGATGGATTTCTATACATGAACATGAACCCTTAAATAGCTTAGTTACTGATATACAGGATGTTAAAATCTTTAAACCAAAATTCAAAATTTCTATAAATCAAAAACGTCTTTATATCTTTTTTTTTCAAATTTGATTTACCAAGATCTTGTTTTAACTACATGAATTATTAGAAATTTAAAAATATTGAGTCGTTAAAACTTATCTAAGTACATGCAGATTTTTGTTTAGAAGCAAATTTATGCAACACCGTTCATTTGAATAGAGAATATAAAATAAAACAATGTTTGTTCCAGTGGCGTGGAAAATAGGGCGAAAAAGTTGCAACTAACCTTAATACAGCGCCACTGGTTAAATTTTTCAAAAGTTAGTTTATATCAAAATATTACTTTATTAAAGAGCATATAGGTCACAAAATTTGAAAAAAAAGTATTTATAGGCGTTTTTGATTATGGAAAATTTTGAAAATTGATTCCAAACATTTAACACCCTGTATCTCGCTAACTAAATTAAGAATTCTTCAGTTAACGAGAGCACTTTGGGGTAAAGCATTATCGGTCGAATATATTAACACCCTGTATAAAGTTTTATGGTGAATTCTCATTTTTTTTATTTCAGAAATTGATAGATATTTAAGTATATACAGGTTTTATTCATATTTTTTATAATTGATACATGATTTTGAGAAAAACTTTCTTTTATTTGTGGTTTTTAAACTTTAAAATATACGTTTCTAGTTTGAAATGTGGCAAAGTTGTCTATACTTGTAGAGCCGAAGAGATGCAGTGATCACGTGCACGTCAGCCTAAAATGAGTGCCCAATTGCCGTCTGAAGATCGTCAACAATAGATGAAGAGCCAAGGGCTAGGCGAGTGTTTTAGTTTGTAGTTCATAGAGGACCGTTTTCTGTTCGTCCATTAACCGAAAAATATGCATTGTTCATCTCTCATAATAACCTGCTAAAACCTGCTCCTGGCCTATAATCTGGTCAAAGGAGGTTTCGAAGACCTAGTCCTTAACACATGATGATCACGCAATTTTATTGCTGCGTCTCTTCGGCGCGTCAACTACAGTAATTAACGACAGCCTAAAACGGCGTAATTTCTAGGAACATGATTTATTGTAGTGATTGTAATTGATTATAATAATTATAACTACTAGTAATAATGCAAAATGGTCTAATTTACAGGTTTGGATAAAACCCGGGTTTATTACAAAATTTATTTATATGGGGTTTTTAATTACATTACATGCATGTTGAGACTTGTTTGATCTTGCGATTTAATTTAAAAACATTAGTTCTGATCTTATGTTCATTCAATCTTTCTTTACATCTCTTGTCTGCTCAAACTATTGATAAAGTTGATTAAAACAACTTTATTTTTTTTAAACTCGTTTTGCGTCGTCTTTTAGGTGGGTTTTACCCAAAAGAACACCACTGTTTTTTTTGTCACTCACTGAACGGCCAACCCGTCAATCTTACTAATTTAAAAATCTATGTGTTTAAAAATATATACATATTCGGCTTAAATATTTCTTGGGAGTGCAACATCACAAGGGGCAACAGAAAGAAGAATATTCATATGAAGCAAGAATAAGAAAGAGAAAACAGAAGACGTTGACAATTAGGCATTCCAACGACCTGTTAAACAATAGATGCCGTAGGGCAGGGCTGGTATATCTAGGAGGGTTGTGACATAGCCTTCCATCTTGGACGCTATTTTTATTCGAAATACTAGCTATCAAGTTTGCCAATTTAAGAAAAATGTAAGACATTTTCATGGTGTTTCCAACTTAAGCGGACTACTATTTCTCCCCTAGCCTCCGCGAGAAACGTTTATATTTGTGCTCAGGGTCTTAAATGTGGGAAAATTGTGATTTCAGGCAGTATTAAAAACCTCAAAAAATAATGTGGAGATCATAATCACATAATACTCAATTTTCCAACTGGTAACTGATGTATGTACAACTTTCATAAGAGTGGTCTGAACTATTCAGAAATTCCTCTCCCTTTCTTTTAAATGATAAAAAAAGGATGGAATCGATTTTCTGAGTGCAATACTTGCACTTACATCTATAAAAAATAACCTACACCGTTGCCACATATCAAAGTAGAAAGAAAATATTTTAAAGTTTATATACCTCTGATTTTCTTTCTCAATTTTAACTACCTAGTGTTTAACAATTTTTATTTGAGGATGACGTACTTGAGAAACACACGTTATTGCCGGCCGACTATAATGCAATTGTTATACTTATTGTACTTATTTTTAAGAAAGAAAAAAAAATGATGTTTCTTGAGTCATATACTTTCAATATTTTTGATTATGTTTATAATTTCTTTTCATAGGAGAATTCTCCATTCTATTACGAAATTTTTCATCTTTGGGGCAATACCACATAAGAAATTATTCATAATTTTAATGAGTTTGTTTAAAAATGTTTTTAGGTTAGGAGAGGATAGTTGCAGACTTGAACCGATGACGGATTCGTTTACTTATACTTTCGCCTATTTGTTGTTATGGGACATCCTGTTAACTTTGTGCGACAATTCGTCTACAGAATTACGGTTTCAGTATGCTGATTGGCTGAAGTAAGATTATTCAGAAAAGTTAAGTGTACTTTTCTGTACTCAAATTATTTTAAATGTTTTTAGAAATGAAGATTTACTGAAAAACCTACTAAACAACTTATTTAAGCTAATGCCTACTGAAGTTTTGCAATATAGCGAAAGAAAATCTAGGAGTCTTAAAGAACCGTTTTTGAAAAAACCAGAAATTCATATTTCAGGTTAGTTTCAATGTTATTCTCGAATAATAACTATTAGAGCCAATTACAAAGCATTTTTAAATTTACACACATATAACACCTTAAATATAGAAATGATAAATAATGAATCTCCAATAGAGTTGGGTAATATTTAACGATCTGTTATTTAACAACTAGTTAATATATTATATTTGGATTATGTAAAAAAAAATGGAACATGTTTGTATTAGAGTAAAATTTTTATGTTGGATAGAGTCCTGCATGAGTAACATAACTTTCCATCTACGTGTTGGTGATTCATTATGCCGATGTTGTTAGTGGTTTTCTACAATGTGCCATCCTCTGACCTATTTTCTTTCTCCTATACATTGCTGACTTGCCACATGTCTTAGTTTTCTCATATACCGATTATACCAAATTGTTTTCCAATCCATTATCCTCCTGTCAAATTTGACAGCAAGATCTAAATGTATTAGCTTTGTGGTGCCAAAAATGAGTGATAAATGCTTGGAATCAGCTACCCTAAGATGTGTATGCAACGTCAGTATCACCTGGCTCTAATGTGCGCAAGTCTCACAATTTAAGTGTTAAAAACAAGGAGTGACGGAAAGGCCAATTATTTCAATGATTTATTTTTCCTATTGATGTTTTATTTGTTTTAATTTATTTCTCACAACTGTGTGAACATTGTTTCAAAAATAGTAAAATAAGTATTTACTCTGTCGTAATTACATTGTAATGTAATAATAAATATTATTATTTAAATCTTTGTAAAATTACATATTTTTTATGTTTTTCTATCGATTTCTTAAATGTTATACACAAAAATATTAACCAATATGTAATTTTTTTTAATGATTTGAGGAACGTTAACTAAAGTTAATTTATTTGAATTTCACTAATCCCAGTGACGATTCAAAGTATGATTGAAAAATCATCTAACTCTCCTATTTTTGACATTTCGTTTCTCTTTAAAGATTTACATGTACGTGACTATTTAAAAATTCTTTGCGAAACAAATATATTTTCGGATTTTTTCACAGGTTTAATTATTAAGAGAGATTGTTATTTTTCAGATACCTGTGATAGTGAGAAAATAGAAAGCTTAGTATGTTGGTTGTATTCATCCACTTTAGCACAATTGCCAGCCATAGTAAGACAGTGGTGGACAGGTCTAGACAGTAAATTGGCACAAACAGTGGACAAAGTTACTCAATACTATGTATCACAACATTTAGTGGTTCAAGAATTAAGCGATTTATTGACGTATCAAAATAAATTCAAAAACATGATCGTAAGTAATTGATTTTTACATTAATCAGAAAAAAAAAAATAGTTACTAGCTGTCTTTTAAACAACAAAATATGTTGTGATGACTGAAAAGAGAGCACACCGATTGAAGTTTGTTTTTTAATAAAATAGTAGTCTTAAAGTAGACGGATTTGGGAAAAAATCATTGAGAGCAATTTTGTAGGAAATAAAATTCTCTACAAAAAATGTCTCTTTTGAGTTCATATTTACAGAGATATTCTCAATAATAAACTCATTCATAATATTTATCAAAACGACAATCACTATTTTATCTGTGGTGATATTAACGTAAATTTTTTGATTGAAGGTAACCAAAAAACTACCTTCCCTTTTTATTTTTCAACTAATTTTATACATAAAAGATAATGAGCATATATTTAAGAAAAATAAAGACCTGCACTCATATGATACTAGATTAAAATTTAACATCCATCAACCTTTTTCACGACTACAAATAAGCCAGCATTCACCAAAATATATTGGGATTAAGTGTTACAATAAGTTCAGTAACATATTAGAAGATACTACAGGTTATCATCAAATTAGTCGTAATGATTTAAGAAAACATCGTAATGATTTTCTTGTAAATAATGTATTTTATAGTATAGAAGATTTTTTGAACTTTTAAACTAATCTTAACATGAATTGTCTATTATATATATTTTACTTAACACTTTTTTGACTAGTCTGATAGGATTTTACATTATGTACCTAGTGTCTTTGTATAGTGTATAATTCTCAAAAATGAATAAATTCTATTTCTATTTCATTAACTCCATAAAATCAAAATTTTCAGATTTTTTTTCAAATCTGTCTACATTGAGATATTTTGAAAAAACTACGATTTTATGAAAAAATAAACTTCAATAATTTTTTTAGCTTAAAGTATTACCTGGAGCCAGAGAAATCATTGCGATTTATACTGTTGACGAGTCCCAAGTCGAACTCATAATTACTCTACCGCCCAACTATCCATTAGGAGGTCTGGATGTCCAATGTAACAAACAAATTGCCGGAACAAGTCACAAGCAGTGGTTATTGCAATTCAAGAAGTGTGTGGTACACCAAGTATGACCCGTGTTTTTATTTGCGCAATTTCAAAAATGTTCGTTTATCCCTTTTATTTTTAGAACGGCAGAATTTGGGATGGTCTGTCACTGTGGAACAACAATTTAGATAAAAAATTCGATGGTGTAGAAGAATGTTACATTTGTTTTGCAGTATTACATCCAGGAACTTACCAGTTACCAAAGTTGTCCTGTCAAACTTGCAAAAAGAAATTTCACTCGGCTTGCTTGGTAAGAACAAAAAAAAAATGTTTTCCGTGCAGATCATTCAAAAATTATTTCAAAGTTTTTAATGTCTGAAGATTTTTGAACGATCTACGGAAAAATATTACTTATACCTCGAAGGAGATGCCTAGAGTCTCGGCTTCCACCTCGTACCAATTTTCAGTCATTCAATGTTTCCGTTTTTTTTTTAGTATAAATGGTTTAGGACCAGCTACAAGAGTTCGTGTCCCATATGCAGAAATTTATTCTAGTAGCCAAATTAATGAGTACGTCTTAATGCATAAATATTTTTATTGTAAATATTTATTTTGTTTTAAATATATTTTTAATTTTCTTCAATGTAAAATAAAGAAAACCATATTTTTGTTGGATTTGTTTGATTTTTTTTATATCACTAGCATGATGACATAGAACTGATGAAAAATGAGACATGAACTTATATAATTTGTGCCTCGGCTGGGCACGTCTAACTGAGGTATTTCGGGTGTAAAATATCATTTGAGGCAGACATGTTTATAAATAAATATCTAATGTATCCAACAGACGACTATATTGTCAAATATATACAGATTAGGTCTAAACATTTCTTGGGTACAGTGCAAAACTATAAAGAGCAACAGAAAGAAGACTATTCATATGAAGCGAGAATAAGAGAGAAAGCAGTAGTAGGGCATTGGCAATCCCACGAATCTTCGCGACGCCAACCGATCTCGATTGTTAACTCCGACATGCAAACCAAACAAATTCAGTCTAGACTCTAGATCAGCAAAGTGATTCTTATGTGCGAACTCGACACGTTACGTACCGAATAGAGATACATTACATAAGAATCTCAATCTGTCCAATCTGCTCATCACAAGATGCATTAATGCTTTACAGTGATTCGTCAAATGAAAGTTATCTAATATTTTCTATCTACTAAGACATGACTCTTTAAAACTTCTTGTGGCGTCAATAGCCATAAGAGCGATGATAGAAAGTGAGAAAAATTACAAAAATAATGGTGTGCCAGAAGATGAAGTAATTTCAAAACTGGTCGCACCTATATACATATCGACATATACACATCCTGTGTGGCATCTCAAAGCTCACTTGAAGGACTATAAAAGGGGCTGGTTGAAAAGGAAATTAAAATGCTGATGTACAATGTAAAGACTCCTATACACGATCGGCTACGATGGGCCATCATCGATCTCCCATGTTCATTTAATTTCTGTCCATTGTTCAAGATGGTTGAAGCTACTTCGATTTATGTGATTTGTTCATACTAACGACGAACAACTACTAGACTAATTTTGTATACGAAAATTGAATTGCAAATGTTTAAAGTTTTATCCATGTAGTTGTCAAATTATTATAAGAGAGTATGGGAGAGTTATTACAAGGATTGTTCATTGTTATAATTCTGGATTGACGTAACATAAGGCTCTAAAACGCACAAAAAGCTTTCAAAATTACATTAAGGAAGTATATTTGTGTTCTTAATGATAGTTATTATCAATTTAATGTATTTTTCTCGTTACAACTATCATAGTTGAAGGTGATTTTCAGAAAAACAGTATACAATTAATTTTGTAGTGTGATAGCAGTGTAAAACTGGCATCGTAGACGTAAGTACTGATTCATTCATAAAATACATGCTTGCTCCTCAAATAAACAAACTCGCACAAACCTTTCCTACTCAAATAAGCAGCTATCTCGTTCTTTCTAATGGGGCAGCTCTGTCTACATAATATAAAACAAAATCCAAATGATTGCTATAAATAAGTGCTTAATTATGAATTAATGGATGTCTAGTAGTTTTTCTTCGTTGGTGCATGCAATCATCACATAAACAATGTTAATATTATGAAAAAAAGGAAAAAAGAAGATGGTGGATGCTGGATGTTCATTGTAATCTTTGTCATTTTTAAGTTTGATCGTTAGTTCTACTGCCATTGTAAATTCTTCAAGAATTACTTGATCAGTGTGTGAAAAACCTACCACTCATCGATTACTGACTCATCATGACTGAAAACTCAAAATCAAAACATCATGAACCTTAAACATTCCTTATTGGTTACTGGAAAGTAAAAATAACGGTAATAGTCAAATATTTATTTATAAAATACATAATATACAATAATTATAAACATAAAAATTTAAATAAAAAACATTGTTTATTATGCATTTAATGAATAATTAATAAGGCTTATTTATTGATATAAGGCTTCTGTAGGACTTTTAAATTCAAATAAGAGTATTTTTTTATAAATAACAAAAATAAATATTGATGTTAAATCTGATTCGACTTTTGCCATTATTGACGTTCTATTGAATTAAAAGCCTTTTTTAATGAATAGATAATTTATTTTAAGCCACTGCTGCGTTTGCTGCTATACTGGGACTGTTGATCACTTCTCCTAAACTTTCTAGCAATTCTTTCCTGTAATCATCGAAATCACCTTCTACTTCATTGATAGTTTTATCTTCAATTACATAAAGTGCACAGCCAGTTTCTCTGTAATAAAACACAAAGATATACTATTAAAATAAAGCAAAGATGAAACAAACAAAAAATATAAAACACATTTCCCAGTACGAATTGAACCCACGATTTGGGTAATTCTTGAATTTGAAGGAATAGAAAATAGTTTTTTCTCTTTATCTTGAATGTATAAAATCTATATTTCTGTCTCATTATTACATCAAATTTAAGAATAGAAACCTGTGGCATACCGTACAACATTGTAACCACTAGATCACAGCATTGTGCGATCTAGTAATATCCAAATATTTATGTCTTTGACTTATCTTAATAAGATCGGTTAAAAAAAGTGCTGTAATGTTCATACCTTATTAATCGTTCGTCGTGAGATACAATTATGACACCGCCTGTATATTCATTAATTGCTTCCGCTAATGCGTCAATTGATTCTATATCTAAATTGTTGGTAGGTTCATCCTAGAAAGAGAGTTGTTAAAAAAATATTCACAGTATGCTATATTAGCTTGACATAATTTGTGTTTCACTGACAGTTAATTTTTAACAAGAGCAAACCATTCTGTCATTGATTTTGACATATACCGTTTCAGTTTTTTTGTGTGCAGGTCGTAAAAAAGTATCAAATGTTAATGAAAATGTATGACCTCTATTTTTTAAATCTACTGTCAGTAGAACGTAAATTACGTCATCATCAATATAGCGTATACGCTGCATTAGAGGGTGGTAATTTGTGTGCCAAACTTAAGGAATTCATTTATTTTAAGATCATATAAGTTTAAAAACTATGCAATTTAGTAATAACCACAACGTATTTAAAAAATTAACTTTGACTACTGTCAATTTTGTTTGGCACATAAATTACGTCATCACTAAGCTGCATATAGATACGATTTGTGTGACATCATGATTTAAGCAATCAGCATTATTACTGTCATAGAAATATGTATCCCTAATAAATTGTTTCTTATTCATTTTGTGTACGAGATCAAAGTATGTTTTATTAATAATGATTAATAATATTTGTATTGTTATTAATTAAATAAACGAAGTGTGGTACTTTCTAAAGACATAAAAATGTAAATAATTGAAATGCTCGCGTTTTTGCCGCGAAACGCATAACTTAATTGACAAATGGCAGTTAAATATTATGCTAAACCCTTGGACCGTGTATTAAGATTATTGAGATAGAATTCGAGCTGGGGGAGCTAGTCAGTTTTGGTGAGAATATTTGCCATTTTTTTAAAATAGCTTCATTTAAATGATATAAAAACATGTTTATTTCGTCAATTTTCAAATATAATATTATTGACTTCAACTAAATCAAAGTCGCCATTTTGATCACACTTTTCCATCAGTCTTGGCATCGCTAAGTGCGTCCATCTGTCATATAGCAAAATAGCGTCGCCTATACTTCATTTTATCTCAATGATTAGGATAAATTCATGTATAAAAAGCCTGTTTCAAGATTATCTATGTAGTAAAACATAAACCAAAGAAGAAATATATTGAGATTTTTCTGGCCATTTTAATTTAGACGTCTATCAATTTTAAGGACAAATTGGCGGGTATTTGAATATATAAAATTTGTCAACATAATGAAGATATGTGTCATTAATTCAACCAAAATTATTATAAACATAATTTTACATTTATTATGCCATTCAGTTTGTTTTTAATCCAGAGTGACTATGGAAATTTGACACATTTCACATTTTTCAAGGTTATGTGCTGTCAAATGCCATTTATGTCACTTGAAGCAACGTTGTTAAGTTGTCTTGTATGAAAAAATCTCGGAACTAGAGAAATTTCTAATCAGTCCATTATAATCCATGATGTTTTTGATATTTTAACGACAAATTCAAAAATGTTCTGTAAACAATTTAGCTATAGAAAAAATTACAATTACTCAAATAATAATCCAAGCTACAGTTTATATAACTGGTTAAACATTAGGAGTGGCAACAATGGATAATAGAAAAATTATAAGAGGGAACAGAGTAACATTGAGGATAACTTATTGCGAGTGGGAGAAATTTAAGTTAGAAATGTTTTTAACACTTTTTGTTAAGTTTTATGTGAAAGGCGAAAAACATTCTAAATCAAATTTCTAATATAATCTTGACTTTCTTGTGACAGTAGCAAATTTAGTTGCCTATATCGTGACGTCAGAGCTTAAAGAGTCTATTACCAAAATTAACACATCTGGTGCGTTTAGACAAAGTTCCGCTAAAGCAACACGTGCTTTTTGACCTCCAGAAAGATCCTTCATTCTAATTGTGTGAGCATGACTAGCTAATCCAAAAGTCCCTAATTGTTTTCTGGCTTTTTCATAAGGAAGGTCAAAAAGTCGCATCAGGTATTCAGAGGGGGTTTCTTCTGCCGTCAGATGCTCACCAGAATGTTGATCAAATCTCCCAATTCGCTGAAGAAATATTATTTTTAATTAATGAAAACGATAAACGCTGTATTAATAAATTTACCAATCGATGATTTTTCCTGTTTTCTCCCTTCAATGGAGTTAAATCCCCAGTCAGCAATTTCAAAAACGTTGATTTTCCTACACCATTGGGTCCGACTATGGCAACCCTGCTATTCATGTCAATACCAAAATCGGTATTTGCAAAAAGTGGTTTCTGTCCTGGCCAGCCAAAATGTACATCTATATAAAAAAATATACATTAAATATTTATCAATTATTTTAAAACATTGAGCGATACATCCTCTACTTTGAAAACAAAAGTGTTACTGCTGAGATATATAAATTTGACATAGTAGTTCGAATGTCAACTTACTGTGCAATCCTAAAACTGGTGGTTGGAGTGGGGGAGGCTCCGGGAAACGGAATTTTACTAAATATTCTTTAGGCCTTTGAAGCAATTCCGTAGCAGTTTGGTCATCTTCCTGTTTCTGTATTTTTGATCTATTCTTCTCTTGTTTCCTTGTCAAAACCTCTTTCTGTTTCTTTTCCTACAATTAGAAAAAACTAGATTCAAATATTCTTTATTTTTTTTTATATTAAATTAAAAGCTTACGGCTTGTTTTTTGGAAGACCCTGATGATTTCAGTTCTTTTATTCTTTTTTCTTGTTTCTCGTATTCTTTAATCATTTCTTTTCTCTTTTGTACATGCATTTTCTTAAACATTGAGTAATTCCCTTTGTAGTAGTACAATTTTTTCTGGTCCAAATGTATAATTTCATTACATACATTGTCCAAGAAGGATTGATCGTGAGAAACAATTAGAAGAGTTTTCTTCCAACCTTGCAAGTAGCTAAAACATACATTATTTTGTTTATGAAACATTAAATATGAGTTAATTAATATGCTCTTACTTATCAAGCCAAATAACAGCATTTAAATCCAAATGGTTAGTAGGTTCATCGAGGAGCAATAATGTGGGTTCAATGTAAAGAGCTCTAGCTAAAGAAACACGCATACGCCAACCTCCTGAAAAATTTTTAGTGGCACGATCCTAACAAAAAAGAAATAATTATAATAAAAATATACAAAACGGCAAAAGGACTTCAGTAATTACCCTATTAAATGTTTAATAAAGTAGTAAAAACAATAAAATCCGCTAGAGTCATAAAAACTATCAACACTTATGTTAAAATGTGTCAAAAGTATTTGTTGCTCAAAAACTAGATTCTAGTGAAAACAGTATATATAAACTAAGTTTTGAAAAATTTAACCAGTGGCGTGCTCTCAGGGTTAGTGATAACTTTTATCCAACTATTTTTACGCCACTGGAACAAATATATTTTTTTAAACTTTTAACACTGTATCTCGCCACTAAGCCCTTTAAGAGATCATGATCCTAAATCAAAATGTATAAATTAATGAGAGCTCTCTGGGGTAGAGCATTGTTATTACCTAAAAGAACAGAACCTTTTAACTTTTCCATCAATACTTATAATTTTATAGACAACCAAGCCATAAATTTATTGTAAGGGGATATATAAATGAAAATAATTGTTTTAAGTGAACATAATTGTTTTAAGTTGAAATTAATGTGGATCGTACATGAGTAACATGTAGGATGGTAAAGCAAAGATCACTTATGTATGAGTTATAACGAATTCTAGAATGGAGCTTGTATCTGAAGTTGATAATGGAAGTAAAGCGGAAAAGTACTCAAATATTTATATAATTATGTGCAAGTCTAAAGAGGTAAATATCCCAAACAGGTAAGTTTAGGTGGTAAATACTTTTACACAAGCAGACATAAAGGAGTCTAATATTTTTAGATGGACAGGCTTAAGGGGCTAAGATTTCAAAAAATTTTAGATGGGAAGGCTTAAGGTTCAAAGGATTCAAATACTTTCAAATGATCAGGCTAAGAAATAAATGACCAAAATATTTTGATTTGGGCTTTCTTAAGGAGTAAAGGAACCAAATATTTTTACATAAACAGGCGTAAGGACAAAATATCCCGTGTGGTAAGTAATCCCAATGCCTCACTAAACTAAAAATTCAATATAATTTACTCATAAAGCCTTAGGTAAGAACCACCAATTATTACAAAATAATATATAAAGGAATTTGTATATATTTTACATCTGTATTTTCTCCTAACAGTATTTTGTATATTTTACTGCTTCTAAAATCAGATATAAACAAATTTATATAATAATTATTCACCCACCTGCATTTCTTTATCAAAACCTAAACCAGCCAAAATTCTTCTAGCTCTAGGTTCAGCAGAATCGGCCCCGATAGCTTTCATCTCAGCATATACTTCATTTAATCTCTCCTGGACTTCTATGTCACCAGATTCCTCCAATTTTTTACATTCTTTGAGCAATTCTGTACGTTTTACGTCAGCAGCTAATACAGTGTCGACTGCAGAATTGTCGTCGGCGACGACTTCTTGTTCGCAGTATAGGATGTCGATGCTAGGAGGAATATCGAAAGCACGTTGAGCTATATGTCGTAGAAGTGTAGTTTTACCATGACTAAAATATTAACTATTAGATTTAAAACTATACAAAATCATACACAAAATTACCCATTGGGTCCAACCAAACCATAATGTCTGCCTTGTGCAATCAATAAATTGGCATTAACAAACAATTCATTTCCTTTGGCAGATATGCTGAAATTCTCAACCTTAATATCGACGGCGTTCTCAAAAGCTGCCAACTGACCTGCAGTTTTCTGAGCTTGTGATACAGTAAAATTACTATCTAGATCAGAATGTCCCTGGCCACCTTTCTTCAGCATGGTTTCCATTTGTTGTTCATATTGCTGAATTTTTTTCATTTTTTTCTTTTCTTTGTGTGTCAGTTTCTTTTCTTTAGTGTCTGTTTGTTTGTCTTCATTGATTTGAGTAGAGCTTATTTTCTCTGACAGTTCTTCTATATCACTATCTTCTTTGTCCTCAATTGAATCTTTCTTTTCTACCTTATTATTAATACCATTTTGTGTGGGTTTACTGGACTCTTCCACTATTGGTTCTTTTTGTGCTACTTTATTCTTTTTATGTTTAGGTTTGACAGGTAGTGGAATATCTTCATCAATTTCGGCATCATTTTCTTTTTTTAGAGATTCATTATCACTGTCGTCCTTAAAATACATTATTTCTGCTGTCATTCATATGTTTAGGAGCAAACGGTAGTTGTTTTGAAAATTTGTTATAAATAATTTTGTTCAATAATTGCAACATAATTTTATTAATTTTGCCTAAATAGTATATTAATTTATTATTAGTAATTAAAATTTGTAAATGTTCACTTAAAATCTCCAATATCAGTTAAATTTAAATTACAATCATTAAAGTATCCATCCAATTTCAAGTTTTTTTTTTTTAATTATTGTTTTTGATAGAACATAAATTGTTAGAAAAACAAAATATTAAAAATAAAAATTTAAACAATGGCTGTATAAACTCCTAAATAAAATAACTATGAATATTTAGCAAGGTGGGTCACTCCAACATTTAATGTTAGGAATGAAGATGATTTAAACTTTTTGGATATTCATTATGGAGACAATAAGCACTGAAGATGGCTTTATGCCAAAAGTGCTTTGCATTTTAAATTAAACAATTTTACACGAAATTCAAGCCTTTTTTGCTAATAAACAAAAGTTTTTTAGTATTTCTGTAATATTGACCATTTGACCTGAACTGCAAATTAGTAAAATATACACAGGTCTTAATAATTTTTGGTATTTCTACTAAGCAATCATACAAATAGAATATCCAGTGGCGTACCCACATTTAGTTTATAAAATAAGAAAATGATTTAATAAGAAAAATGGCAATGAAATGCTCACAGTATGACATTATGAAAATTAGCAATGTTAGATGTTTATATATTCACGCAGTGTGTTGTTATATACAAAAAAAATGAATTTTTAAAAAACCCTTTAGAACATAGACATATCACTAGAACTGCATCGGACATGTGCATTAAAGTACCAAAACCAAATAGTGAGTTTTTTAAAAACAGTGTAAATTATCTAGGGACAAAGTTCTATAACGCTCTAGCTCTTCATATAAAACTATTAAACAAATATAAAAAATTATGTAAAGTTAGCATAATATACATTTTCCAAAATAATGCAAAGTTTATCAGAATATTCCAAGAATATTGGACTTAATACATGGATTTTTTTTTAAATAGTTTTTTTTTTCTGTTTTTTTGCATAAATTGTTCAAGTTTTATTTTTTATTAAAAAAAAAAAATTATTTCCTTTATAATTTATTAAATATAATTAAAATAAAATTTTAATATTTGTCAGCACATACAGGTGTTCTCACCTAGGTGCTTGTTATTATATAATTGGTTTCCATTATTGTACTTTATTGTAACTTATTTATTATTGTAACTTATATAGCTTAACCTCCTGAGTATTCTCACAGGAGCAGCAATCTTTTTTTGTAGATAATTCAAATGAAATTCCCAGGACAGAATTTCATCAAAAATAAATAATTTTAAGTAATCCAGAGACATTTCAATAATTTTTTTGGAAATTTTTAGTTTTGGCAGGTACTGAAACATATGTCTACACTATGTGAGACTTTTTATTTAAATTGGAGCTGTGTATAGGCCATTTGAGTTTATGCCATTCAGCAGAGCCAAGTATGGGTTGATATTTTCTGGTAGCAGCAAAACTGCCACTCAACGAGGTCATTGCTTTGTCTTCTTTGTGTATCAGAACAAGTGGCCCTACAATAAGTACAGAGATACGTTTTAGTACCTGCTGAAGCTAAAAATCTGCAATTTTTTGTTTTTCGACAATAGGGAATGTAAAAACAACTTCTAAAAATGTGTTTTCTCAAAACTCACTTCAAGTGAGATACCATTTTAGCTTAGGAGAGCAGTATAGGTCTATAGCCTCCTGTCCAGTCATACACTGACCTCTATTCTTACTGACATGAAGTAGGTAACATTCCTAGAGGCAAAAAATACAGTGGAAAAAAAAAAAGGATTTACCTGATCTATATTCTCATTTTTCTTAGCAAATTTGTTTACTATGTGAGCCTGTTCGTCGTCAATATCCGATTCATTTTCTTCAGGTTCATCCACATCAGACTGTTCTTTCTTTTTCTTATTCTTTTTTGCAGATTTTTTAACTACTTTTGGTATATCCTCTTCCTCATCATCTGATAATTTAATATCTACATCTTCTTTATCAGACCAATCATCTTTCTTTTTCTTATTCTTCTTTGCAGATTTTTTTGCAACTGCTACCGGTATAGATTCTGTTTCACTATCTGAAAGTTTAACATCCATATCGTCCTTATCTGACCAATCATCATTTTTAGTAGATTTTCCTAAAATAAAAATAGAGAAATGCAGGTACTTATTTATATTTTATAAAGACATATTGGGTACTGCAGTAATTACCCTTTTTTACTTTCTTTTTGGGTGCAGGTTTACTCTCGGCTGGCTCATTTCTTTCAATAATTTCTTTTCCTATAATAATAAAAACATTTTAATTCGTTTATATAATATATTAATATTAATGTTAGTTATCAACCTTGGTCAACATCATCATCATCGCTAGAGTTATCCTTTCCTTTCTTTCCTTTTTTAGAAGCCTTATTTTTAGTTGGTTTAGAAGTTTGCTTTTCTTTCTCACTAATAATACTGACATTTTCTTCAAAATCTTCGTCTAGGTTTTTTCCTTTCTTATTTCCTCGTTTCTTTGACATTTTTCAAGATTTCCTAATTTTCTTCTCGATATGTTAAAAATGTTAACCTTCTTTTTTTAAAAGACACACTTGACACACACATGTGTCAGTGTCATTTGTATCATGTGTCATGCAGTGTTGCCAGAATATATTTTTGTAATGTACCAGATTTGTCTAAAAAATGTACCAGATTACATAAAAATGTACTAGATTCTATAAAATTACCAGATTTTCTAATTGTGAAGTGTGGTCAATAAAGAGCAAAAAAAGGTTTATAGACAATACGAACACAACAATTTTATACAATATTTTATCTTTCGACAAATTTCTGACACTATTTTATCTCTCGAGAAATTTTTGAAAAAGATTTTAATACCTTATAATACTATTTTATCTCTAACAATTTTTAAACCTTTTTTTATCTCTTGAGCTATTTTTAAGTAATATTTTATCTTTAGATAAATTTCTAACATTATTCTATCTCTCGAGCAATTTTTAACAACTTTTTTTATCTCTCGAGCAATTTGTACAATATTTTATCTCTCGAGTAATTTCTAAAAGTATTTTATAGTTCGAGGAATTTTTAAACAATGTTTTATCTCTCTAGAAATTTCTAACAGTATCTCTCGAGTTAATTTTAAACAATATTTTATTAACAAATTTTTCAATTTTTCAAAACAAGGTATTAACATTTTGTAATACTACACCTTACCTCTAGCAATTTTTGAACACGATTTTATCAATTTCTAATACTATTTAATCTCTCGTACAATTTTTAAATATTTTTTATTTCTCATTAAATTTCTAACAGTATTTTTATCCCTAGAGCCATTTTTGAACAATATTTTACCCCTCAAGCAATTTCTAATACTATTTTATCCTTCGATCAATTTTTAACACCCTTTTTTACCTTTCAAGCTATTTTTAAACAATATTTGATCTCTCGTGCAATTTTTAAACA